GGCACTTCTCTCGGAGAGAGTTTACAAGGGACTGCCTCTTTAGTGGGGGTGGACTCAAACATGCCTGTTTTACAAATGCCTCCGGGTAGAAGGGGCTGATTATATACTCGGAGCGTTGGTTTTCCCTTAGCCGTAGCAGTGTAGCGCAGTGTAGCGCCAGGGTGACATTTCAAATTGGAGTTATGGGTTGCATATTTCTGCATGCTAATTAGGAAGGGGGATGTCAGCATTCAATAATGTTATTGTTTTGCTTCCTAGAAGGTCTGTAGAAAAGCAGCTGCCAACGGGATATTTTTGGGGGACCCAAAGATAAAGCAGGGGTGAAGAGAGTTCTTGTTTGTCATTGAGGAAAATGAGACCATCTGGAGTCCTGGTCTTTGGCAGGCCCTGGGAGCCGTCTGTTGCGATAAGCTCTGTTGGCAAACTCTGCCGTGGAATGTTCCCTGATGATAATGAAAGTAACCAAATGAAATCTGTGCTGTCATTGGCTGTTCCTGTGCATATAAAGACAGGGAGGCTGGAGCCAGAGAAGTTTCACTGAATTCTCCTGCCCGGAGATGCCCCGGGATTTCTGGACATAGACACTGGAGGCAGACACAGCTCTTTTTTTTTCCTTTAATTTTTTTTTTTTTTTTTTAGTTGTCAGTGAACTTTATTTATTTATATCTGGTGCTGGGAATCGAACCCAGTGCCTCCCATGGACTAGGCAAGTGCTCTACCACTGAGCCACCACGCCAGCCCCCATCTCTGTGTTAATGTCAGGCATCATTTATAAATTGTGTGAATCTCAGATTCTTCTTCTGAAAATAGGAATATTGATGTCTTTTTCTCTAAGATGGTTATAAATGTTAACTCATGTTCTCCTGCCTGGTCTCCTATTTAAAGACACTGGCAAAGATAGACACATAATTACAGGCCTTGGGTTTATTATCCTTGTGTGTGTGCAGGTTGTATTTCCGTAGGGTGGGGCAGGTAGGGAAAGAAAGTGTAAAGAGAAGGTGAGAGAATTTTATGAATGATAGCATCCCGTGTTGAGCAAGCAGGTAGTAAATCAACAGGACGCAGATGGCAGTCATTCAGATGTAATTGACGGACTGGAAAAAACTGTTCTGAGTAATGTTGTTAAGAACTGGATCCACAGTAGAGGTATTTACAAAGACCCCAGGCTAGAATCCATGCACGATTTCTAATTGTTCTGTAAAGAATTGCTGAGTGACCTTGTGTGCCTGGTACTGTGTTGGAGGGGCACACAACCAGGTGTGGCCCCTGCCTTGGTGGATCGGGTCATCTAGGGGTGAAGACAGATACTGATTAACTACTCTGATAAATACAGCAAAGGGCATTGAGAAGAAGAAGCGTACGTGTTTCCCTGTTAACATGTGAGAACTAATAAGGACAGCTTTGGTCTAGACTATGGGGTCTGAGATGCTGTCCCTGAGGATGAGCAGATGGGGATGGGGTGGATACAGGGAGATGGGTATAGGGAGAGGTGGGGGCAGGAACTGTGAGATGAAGAGGGGGCCCAGTGTGCATGTGAAGGCTGAAAGAAGCCCAGTGGGGCTGTGTGCAGTGTGCACACCTGTATTCCCAGCAGCTTGGGAGGCTGAGGAGGATCATGAGTTCAAAGCCAGCCTCAGTAACTTAGGGAGGCCCTAAGCAACTCAGTGAAACCTTATTTATTTCAAAATAAAATATGAAAAGGTCTGGGGATGTAACTCAGTGGTTAAATGATGTTGGGTTCAACCCCCGGCACACACCCGCCATCCCCTGCAGAAAAGTATTTTGTTTGGCTTGGTCAAGGCCAAAAATTGGGTCCTGTTAATGAAGGCCAGCAGTGCCTGCCTCCCAACCTGCTGGGATTACCGGTGTGTGCCACTGTACCCAGCTACAGAAGGGAAATTTTATATAGTTCCTCTTAATAATAAGTATTTCTGTACCCAATCTTAATTTCTAGAAATAGGGAAGAGCTTTGAACAAGTGTGGTTTTTTTTTTGTGTGTGTGTGTGTGTGTGTGTGTGTGTGGTCGCATTGAGGAAAAGGCCAATCATTTGATGACTTAAGAAAGCCTTTGAACTTGAAAACTGAGGGCAGGTGCCCACTGGAAATCCACACATATTTGTCAAATTTAGGTAGAACTTTATTTTCCAGGCATTTATTTCTGTCGTGCACTGCAGATGTCAAAGACTTAATTGATTTTTTAAAAATGATTATAATTTTATGAATGTGACTTCAATTTAATGTCACTGAAACTGAGTGATAGGGTTATAAAATGGTAATTATAAAATTATGAGTAAAGAGTCCCATGCTTTGGTTACATTTTCCACTAGGTTCTTATTTTTAGACATTAGCCTTAGTTTAACATCTCACTCTAAAAATGATGTGGTGTTTTGATATATCAGTGATGGGAGGGATTGAGAATTAAATTCAGTAGGGCTTTATCTTTATCTCTCTCTCTTTTTTTTTTTTTTAACTCACTGTGGAGGTTGATTTCTCAATAGTAAATGGTGTTGCTTTCCTAAACGCCAATAAAATAGTCTTCAGGGAATGAAAAGGTTGTATCCCTTCAACTGTAAGGTGAAGTGGATTTCTTAGTTCATATGTGCACCAATTCTTTCTTGTCTGAGGGTTGGCCCCTCAAAACATATAAGGGGTGCCTTTATTCAAGCTTTCTTCTTACTTCCTGTTCCTGCAAGTTGGAGATCTTAAAGAAGTTTTTTTGAAGAAATTGATAGATCACCTTCTATTAAAAAAAAGAAAAGTCCTAGAGATTGACCCGAATGTGCTTACCAGATGCCTACCTGGGATCCTTCAGATTTACACATGGCCGCCTTTCAGTCTACTAGGTTTTAAAAATGTGTATGTTCAACCGGACGCGGTGGCACACGCCTGTAATCCCAGCAGCTCGGGAGGCTGAGGCAGGAGTGTCTCGAGTTCAAAGCCAGCCTCAGCAACTTAGCGAGGTCCTAAGCAACTCAGTGAGACCCTGTCTCTAAATAAAATATAAAATAGGGCTGGGGATGGGGCTCAGCATTTGAGTGTCCCAGTTCAATTCCTGGTACAAAAAAAAAGTATATATTCAGAGTTTCCTTGCTGACATGGACTGTTAAACCACTCTCAAACAAAGTCAATGTGTATATATTCATCAATTTGATAATTCAAAAATATCTTAAAGAGATATTATTAAACCCCTTCTGGAAAAAGCAGTCTTATGAGGATAGTGCTGGATAGAAACAAATGTTCATCTCTAGGTCTCATGGAGACCAACTTTTGTCTTTTGTTCTTTTTTCTATTTCTTTCTTCGCCTTTTTAAGTGCTTACAAAATGTCTATGTATTGAGGTGCTTGGTTTAGCTAATGGCATTGGGCCATTGGGAACAAATACCGTACACAGGCTTTATTAGTATCTGTAATGTTTCTATGTTACTAAACATCAAATTACAAATATTGGTCAGGATTTATTGAAGGATTCAGTATTATTGTCTATCTTCCTGGCCTGACTCTGAAAGATTTAAAAGTTGAATGGATCAGTGGAATTCTAATGTTGATGTCTTTTATCATGTAGTTGCTAAATATCATCGATTATAAACTCAGCTTTTCAAATTTTGATTGTTCATGAACAACCTTCATGATTTTGTTCATATCGGAATAGTCTGTTATTTAATTAATGTTTTCTTTAAGAAAACTTTAACAAACACAATTTGCTTTTTGAGTTCTTTTTTTGAGATTTATATAGTGAGATTTAATTTTTTCATATTTTTTATTGCTGCATTATAGTTATAATAATAGTGATGGGATTCATTGTTACATATTTAATGGACGTGTAGATGATGTAGTATAACTTTGAAATGGGAATTTTCTTTTTGTGTGTGTGTTTTGGTTTTGGTTTTGGTACTGGGGATTAAACCCAGGGACACTCAACCACGGAGCCACATCCCCAGCCCTTTTTAATATTTTATTTAGAGACAGGGTCTCGCTGAGTTGCTTAGGACCTCACTAAGTTGCGGGGGCTGGCTTTGAAATGGCGATCCTCCTGCCTCAGCTTCCTGAACCTCTGGAATTAAATAGTTTTCAAAAAGAAACTCTTATGACTTCTACCATCACTATTATTTATTCCATTGTTTAATTTTTTTGTTGTATAAAACTGTTGTTTAAAGCTTTTTGTTAAAGATCAGTCAGCCTTTTTAAAATATTGCTGTTTTTCTTCAATTTTAAAGGCGAACTTGATATTGCTAATCTAACTCACTCATTAGATATTTCTATTGGAAATTAAAAATGTTTGTTCATTAAAATTAAAAAAAAAAAAAAGCAAAAATCCAATTCATGTACCAGTCAGGGTGCCGTGGCACACTGTAGTGAGCCATAAACCAAACTTGGTGGGTAAAGGGAAGATGGGCTGTTTCTAGAGGCGTGATTGACAGTTTTCTGTTAAAAGGTGGCGAGGGTTTGTTCCCACCCTGCAGGCCCCCGAGGGTCAGGCCTGCCATTCACTTGAAGAGGCGCCACGTGGTACTCAACTGCCCTTCTTTTTAAACAGTGCCCTGATTCCCTCTTGAAGAGGGGAGGTGACCTCAACTTTTCAGGTCTGTAAGGGTGCTGGCAGTAATGAATTTTGATTTTCTGTGAGGCTCACTCTAAATCGGATTCAAGCATTATGCTGGTGCCCATATAGCAAAAGACGACCAATTGAAATTCAAATGTAATGAAGATGGAAGTTTTTTTTGTTTGTTTGTTTTTTTTTTTCTATTCAGCCCCTCCTCCTTTGTTTTTAGCTTTCATTGATTCTTTCTTTGCACCTAAACAGTGTGGCTTCTTCTCTCTTGTTCCTGCAATCACCCTAACCTAGTTGGATAAGGAAGGCGGTCTTTGCTAACCCATCCCAGAAATGAAATGTTTCTCGTTTTTATTTTATTTCATGCGCTGAGAGATCGGGATGTGAAGTCTTGCAAAAAAAAAAAAAAGTGTTCTTTTTGAAACATGCAAATGTGTCTCTCCATCACCTAGGAAACTATTATGGGACACCCAAACCTCCCAGCCAGCCAGTCAGTGGGAAAGTGATCACAACGGATGCCTTGCAAAGCCTTCAGTCTGGCTCCAAGCAGTCGACCCCGAAGCGCACCAAGTCCTACAATGACATGCAAAATGCTGGCATAGTCCCCGCGGAGACCGAGGAGGAGGATGACGTTCCTGAAATGAACAGTAGCTTTACAGGTAAAGGCCACACGGGGTCCCTTCGCAACCCTTGTGGCCAAGGCGAGTGGAGGTGGGAAGGCTCTCCCCAGGAAGGAGGACCAGGATGCTCTTCGCAAGAGCATTTCAGCAGCTTGCCCAGATTCCAGTCCCAGCCATGCAGTGCGTGGGGAGGAGGCTGACCATCCCTCCGTCCACTTACCATGGTTCCCAGGAATATCTGAACGTCACCCAACTATCTGAAACGAGCCGGGGATAAAGGTGTGGACACAGCAATTGAGAAATATCAGCCTGGTCTTTCTCTCTTCAGGAGGATATATTTAGGCTGGGCACCTTGGCTCACGCCTGTGATCCCAGTGGCTCAGGAGGCTGAGGCAGGAGGATCTCTAGTTCAAAGCCAGCCTCAGCAAAAACGAGGCCCTAAGCAACTCAGTGAGACCCTGTCTCTAAATAAAATACAAAATAGGGCTGAGGATGGGGCTCAGTGGTCGAGTGTCCCTGAGTCAATCCCCAATGTGTGCCCCCCCCCACCTCCAAAAGAGGATATATATATATATATATTTATTTATTTATTTTTTACACTTTGTTCATTGATGTTTAATTTGGCCTTGAAACATCTTTGTCATCATGAAGCGAAATATGAGAATTCGGTTGACATTAAGCTGACATTAAACTGACAGCATCCGCTTCTCTCACACTATTTTAAGTAGAGGTGTTGGAAGTATGTCTTGTGCTCAGCTAACTTATGCAGACTTTACTGCGGACCTTAAAGGGGGCAAGAAAAATACGAAAAATAAATATTCTAGGGTTCTCCCCTGTGTATGCATTCTGTATCATGTAGCAGATGTGACTGAATCCATTGTATATTTACACCTGTACTCAGAGCTGTGTGCCTAAAGCTTAGCCGTGCTGTGTGTTATGGGGGGGTTGTCTAGGACAGAGCCTCAGCTTGGGCTGTGCAGTTGAGGTATCGCACATCTCAGGTGGTACCATTTGTATGCTGGGGTATGTGGTCTTGGGTTAGAGCAGTGATCTATAGCTACTCAATCTCATTTTTCATTATGTGAGAGTTTGACCTCATGTAATAACTCAAAATGTAACAACTGCCTAAACACCTGAGTAATTTCAGCCTATAACGTGACTTAGAGAAAACCACTTCATTTTTTTCTATTTTTTCCTATATTTAAATTCTCTCTTTAATATGTTAGAACTGTAGCTATGGACAAGTTATCCGTGGTCGGCATCCACGGTTTCCTCCGTCAGTGGCCTTTCTCTTATCACCATACTTGGTCACTGCTTGGGTAGACTCAGCCCCAGTGCTTGGATAGACCAGTCGACCCTTGTGTTTACCCCGTGTCACCAAGTCTGATAGAATGTTCAGGAAAAGTATTTTATTGTTGAATACTACTACAGCCGGCATGGATCTCTCTGAGATTTTGCGATTTATTAACTGAGCTCAAAAGTCTAAATTGGTTAAGATGCCCATAAATTTTTTTTCAATATTTTTTTAGTTATAGATGGACACAATACCTTCATTTATTTATTTTTATGTGGTGCTGAGGATCAAACCCATTGCCCCATATGTGCTGGGCAAGCGCTCCACCACTGAACCCCCATAAAATGTTTTTGATGACTTTGCTATGGCAGTAGGATAACTCACCCCTTTTGTGAGAAGTATTGGATCAACTGAAGTACTGATGTCATGGCTTGTCTCTTGATAGTTGACTATTTATGAACAAAATGCCTTAAATCATTTATCTGTGATGGGACTAGGGGAATTGTATCATTTCCAAGTTTTTCCTACTAGCTCTAAGAATTTACTTCTGTGAAAAATTTCTTTTTTTTTTTTTTTCCATTTAAAATGTGATAGACCAGTGCCTGACCTACAATTGCAATGTCTAGAAGAAATTTTTTTTTTTTTTTTTGGTACCAGGGATTGAACTCACTGAGCCACATCCCCAGTCCTTTTTTTTTTCTTCTATAATTTTAAATTTTATTTATTTTTATGTGGTGCTGAGGATCAAACCCAGTGCCTCACATGTGCAAGGCAAGCACTCTACCACTGAGCCACAACCCCAGCACCCCCAGCCCTTTTTTTATATTTTATTAGAGTCAGGGTGTCACTGAGTTGCTTACTGCCTAAGTTGCTGAGGGTGGCCTTGAACTGGCAATCCTCCTGCCTCAGCCTGCTGAGTTGCTGGGATTACAGGTGTGCACCCCACTCCAGGAAAAATTCACCATCTTTTCTGTACGCCTTTATTAAAATCATCTGATTTCATCCTTTGGGAATATTTCATCCATATGTAGTAGCCACCAACAAAATGAAAAGAGGTTATATTACATTGCTTTTAAAAACGTATAATACTTTAATGTCTTGATAGTTCAGTAAATAAGAATTGCAAGTCATGATATAACCCAAAACATAGTTGTAGTCACAGCAGTAGAAGACCTTACGGATAGGGGACAGTGAAACAGCTCTGCCAAACAGGCCTGTGGTGTCCTTTAGGGCATAAGGCCACCCTTATACACTTTTATTTGTCCTCCATTTATGTACTAAGGTGATTTCTTGGTAGAAAGCAAGGACAATGTTGAGGTCATTGACCATAAATCTTGAGATGTCCCATCTCTAACCACTGCACATTTCTGTCTGTAGAAGCCACACCTTAGACCATCTGATCTCATAAAATCCTCACTTGAAATCCTGTCATGTAAAAAAGGAACTGTAGAACCAGGCCAGTGGCCCATGCCTGTCATCCCAGTGGCTGGGAGGCTGAGGCAGGAGGATCTCAAGTACAAAACCAGCCTCAGCAACTTAGTGAGGCCCTAAGCAACTCAAGGAGACCCTGTCTCTAAATAAAATATAAAAAAAAAAAAGAAAAGAAATGGCTGGGCATGTGGATCCGTAGTTAAACACCCCTGAATTTAATCCCTGGTACCAAAATAAAAAAGAAAATGTGGGCCTCGGTCATGATTGCTAAAATCAGTCTGATCCTTCATTTCTGCACAAAACAGAAAGCCAGGTGACACTCCACGGTGCTCTTCAGGTGCCTGTCTTGGCACTAAGAAGGCCAATAGGATGATTTAGACAGACAGGGCCTAGACTGCAGTGTGGCCCCGTGGTAGGGGGTAGGCCTTGCAGGGATGGCAGAGGCCTTGGCTTCTGTCCCTAGCAGCCCATCCCCCACCTGACCCCTCACCGACCACCCCCCCCCAAAAAAAAAAAAAAGAAACGGAAAGAGGAGTAGTTTTGAGCTATACCTGTGATGGTGCATCTCAATATCTCAATAGTAGGGAGCGTGTTAAATGAACGTCCCACACAAAATAAAAGTGACACCAGCTGACATTGTATCATACCATAAACTCATACTAATTCTTTTCTTTTCTTATTTTTTTTTTTAGTTGTAGTTGGCACGATTACTTTTATTTATTTTTATGTGGTGCTGAGGACTGAACCCAGTGCCTCCCCCATGTTAGGCAAGTCCCCTACCACTGAGCCCCAGCCCCAGCCCCTCATACTGATTCCTTTGAAGAATTCATACCCCCCAGTTACATATCATACATGTGTGTGAAAGTAGCTGGGTTGAAGCATTTTGCATTCTGAACAATTCTAAATAGCAATCTACCAGCCGTTTTGTGCACAGGGTGACATTAGCATAATGGGGTGTTGGCTCTGGTTGGGCCAGCGATGATAAAGGTATGAGAATCATATCTAAGTGTAGAAATACTGTGGACCTGTTCAAAATGATACCTATCAGGATATTTTAAACAACATGCTGCTGTTTCCTGCTGGGCGCGGTGGTACATGCCTGTAGTCCCATTGACTCCAGAGGCTGAGGCAGGAGGATCAACAGTTCAAAGCCAGCCTCAGCAATTTAGCGAGGCCCTCAGCAACTCAGTGAGACCCTGTTTCTAAATAAAATATAAAAAAGGGCTGGGGATGGGGCTCAGTGGTTCAGTGCCCCTGGGTTCAATCCTCCATACTTAAATAAATAAATAAATATGTATAAGAGCTAATGTTGGGCTGGGGTTGTGGCTCAGTGGTAGAGTGCTCACCTAGCATGTATGAGGCCCTGGGTTCAATCCTCAGCACCATATAAAGATAAGTAAATAAACAAATTGTGTCCATCTATCATTAAAAAATATTTAAAAAAAAAAAAAAAAAGCTAATGTTTCTCTGGTACGATGTGGCAGACATTTTCCAAAGCTCTTTATGTGCATGCCAGGGAAGTCAAGTAGTTTCCCCAGTGTTCTAATGTTATAATGAGGGAGTGTCAGAGGGTCCTCCTCCAGAACCTGTGTGCACATCCAGTGTGCTTTTTTGTGTTTTAAATTAACCTTATCAGACCCTAAAGATTTTGACTGATTTTTGCACAGTGGAAGAGGCACATAGATCTAAAACTATCTACAAGTTTAAGATAAGCCTCAGGAGTGTTCTTAAAGTCACTTCCAACAGTCTGAGGCCAGGCAGGGAGACAGAAAGAAGAAAATGCTTAGAAACTCCTGATTTACTATTGATAACAATGGCATTTGTAGTTCACCTCATGGTTTACATACCATTTTCACGTGTATCTGGTGAACCTCCTGGTTATCTTGAGAGAGAAGCCACTCAAGTACCTCCTCTGCAGCTCGCGGGTGAGGGCATTGAGTGAGAGTGCGTGTCACACCACCACAGGACATGAGCCCAGGCTTTCTGGGTCCCATCTAGACTCCTCCCACCGTCCATTCTGCCTGACTCCTTGCATTCATTCATTGGCAACCTTGGGTTAGATAATGATAGTAGTGCTCCTAAATATTTCATGAATCAAAGATTTTTTTGCGGGGGGACAGGTACCACAGATCGAACTCAGGGGCACTTGACCACCAAGCTGCATCCACACCCTATTTTGTACTTTATTTAGAGATAGGGTCTCACTGAGTTGCTTAATGCCTTGCCTTTTCCTGAGGCTGGCTTTGAACTTGCGATCCTCCTGCCTCAGCCTCCAGAGCTGCTGGGATGACAGGCATGCGCCACCGCACCTGGCTAAGATTTTTTTAATCCAAGCATGTATCAAAGTCAAAGCCATTACCTAGGCTGTGGATCTTTTTTTATTAGTTGTAGATGGACACCATATCTTTATCTTATTCATTTATTTTTATGTGGCGCTGAGGATCCATCCCAGGGCCTCATGCATGAGAGGCAAGGGCTCTACCACTGAGCCACAACCCGGCCCCAAGGTTATGGATTCTTGAGTCTGTCCTGTGTGTACTCGAACCTTATTTTTGTGCTTTCCATTTTCCATCAGAGAATGAGATTTTTTGTTCTCTTTTTTCCCCCCACATTTTTTACAAGTGCATTATAGTTGCACATAATGATGGGATTTGTTGTCACATACTCTACATGCACACAGCATAACAGTATAATTTGACCAATGTCACTCCCCGGCACTCTCCCCCCTACATCCGCCCCCTACCTTTGAGTTTCTGAGTTTGGCTTATTTCACTGAGCATGATATTCTCCCTTTCCATCCATTTACCAGCAAAAGCCATAATTTTGGCCATGGCTTCCAGAACATGACAACTTCAAGCCCCAGCCAAAGTTAGAACTTTGCACACAAGTAACATTCCATTACATTCTTTGGAGACTTCTTTGTATCCCTCTCCTCAGACTATACTGCTTCTGTCTCCTGAATCTCCATCACCAGGATGCTTTACAAGAGCCGATTTGGAAAACAAATCCCAAACCTCTTCTCTGGAGTAGGGAGGCGGAAATACGCACTTTCATAGGCTCTCCAGGGGATTCTTGTGTACTCTTCAGGGTGAAAAGTGTGCCCTGGAGAAGGTACATCAGAAATGAGTGAGTGTAGGTTGGCTTCTACAGAATTACGGGTGGGTCTTTTCATCATTGCTAGGCTTTGGATTTATTTTGTTGTTGATGAGTAGTCTCAAAAGGTTTCTTCTGTTTTGGCCTAATTTCCTTCTTGTTCATTCAAATTATAGTTGTCCTATTAAATCTGCACTCTTTTCATGCAAGTTGTAAAACCCATTCTTACTGGTGCAGGCAGGAAGGTGTGATTCGGTGGGGGAACCAGGCCGTTGAAGAGGACAGGGGTAACCTTGACTCCAGACGTGGATCAAAGGCTCAATCCTGGATCTTAGAGAACATTCCCCCTTTCATCTCTGCTTTCCTCCGAGTGGGTTTCACTCTTCAGTAGGTACTGCCTACAATGGGAATGTGGCCACCAGCTTCAGAACCTGTCAGTTAAATAAGCCCAGCATCCAGAGGCTGACGGTTCTGGCAGAATTTCCCTATGTCCCCTTCATTGGTCCACCCTGGATCCAGCATGTGTTCCTGAACTTGACCATCAAAGGCCAAAACAAAGGGGTTGGGGTGGTGGCTCAGTGGTAGAGCATTTGCCTAGCACAGGTGAGGCACTGGGTTCAATCCTCAGCACCACACACACAAAAATAAACAAAATAGAGGTATTGTTTCCATTCTACCAAAAAAAAAAAAAATGATACAGTACTCCTAATTGAAAAGAGTGTAGCTTGGAGCCAGGAGGAGGTTGATAGGTTTATATCAGTTTTCTTGGGCTATGTGGGCTAGGGCATGGATTTGGGGCAGGTGTGGTTGTTTTGGAGACTCTTCGTTCCCAGGGGTCTCCTGGGGAGCCCTCATCACAGACAGCTTTGAAAACAGTCCTTTATTATTCTTCAGTCTGCTTTTGCAATCAAAGTAGGAATGTCTATCAGAGAATAACCGCGGGAGATAGAAAATCGCTACATCCCCTGATGATTATGTCGTCAAGGCCCACGGAGATTGACATTTCCTATCATCAGCTTCTATAAAAATTCAGCCCCAGAGTGTCCACAGTGCTGTTTGTGGACACTTGGATGACATCATCCCGGATATGGCTAGTTAATCAGAAGCAAGGACACTCACGCACTGAGAGCCTTCTTTGGAGACCCATGTCCCAGCAGTCCACCTACACGCCACCCTGCAGGGGGTAAGCTGTCTTGGTTTTCACAGGAACAGCCTCTTGGGTTTTCTAAAAGAGGCTCCATTCTGACTCACTGGTATAGCTGTCTCCATATCCTAAACTTTTATATACGTTCCAGCTTAATGTGTCAGCTGTGATCTTTGCCAGCAGCTACCCAAAAAAGTGTTTTAGATAACTTTTATAAAAAAGCCACTGGATCTGTGTGTTTTCAGCATGAACTTTTTTTTTTTTCTTCAAGTCACAAGCCAAATAGTACCCACGGAAGGAGCGTGTGTCTTAGTCATGTTTTGATCTTCTTGGTTTAAGAGTGTTTCGGGTCTAAGTTATTAATTGGCTTCTTCTCTGGCATTTCTGAGATGGTGAGTGATGTATTATCTGCCATGTTTTTCTCCTCTTCTTTTTTTTTGGTACTGTGGGTTGAAGTTAGTTAGGGTCCCTTAACCGCTGAGCCACATTCTCAGCCCTTTTTATGTTTTATTTAGAGACAGGGTCTCACGGAGTTGCTTAGAGCCTCTCATAGTTGCTGAGGCTGGGTTTGATCTTGCAATCCTCCCGCCTCAGCCTCTCAAGCCTCTGAGATTACAGGTGTGCACCACCACGCCCAGTTCCTCTTTCTTAATAAGTAAAATAAATTCTGTTGGGGTGTATGTGTACATGGGTATGTGCGTGTGCATGTGTGTGTGTCGAATTTAGGGCCTCAAATCTGCTAGTGACATGCTCCTGGGGTCCGACACTGAGCCACACCTCTCAGGAGTGGTCACTGGAATGCTATCTAACATTTGTTAAAGCAAAACAGAAATCGTAGTTAATGGCCATCGATCAGAGAAGGGTGAGGGCTAAGAAGAGAGATGTGCACAGTGTCTCATAACCCAACCTTGTGTTCTGATGATGAGTGTGTTTGTGCTTACTCTCTCTCTCTCTCTCCCCACCACCTGACCCAACAGCCGATTCTGGGGACCAGGACGAGCACCCTCTCCAAGAAGCAGCTCTTGCGCCTGTGAATAGTAGCCTCGTTGCTGCTCCCATCACGGACCCTTCTCAGAAGTTCCCTCAGCACCTACCTCTTTCCGCAGAGGATAATTTAGGTCCTCTGCCTCAAAACTGGGAGATGGCCTATACCGAAAATGGAGAAGTCTACTTTATAGAGTAACGTATACCATTCTTTCCACCTCCACCTCACCCTCTCTTTATTCTCCTACCCTCTCCCTGGGAAGCTGCAGATATAAATTAAATCGAAATCGCTCTTAACTGATGTTATTGTTTTATACGACTTAACAACTTTTTATATGAAAAATAAGATAGCTGTTTAGTGTTTTAGTCTGCTTTTTCACTCTTTTGATTGAAAGACCCGACTTTTATAATTGTAGAGGAGGAAAAGTTTATCTGGGGGCTCAGGGTTTCAGAGGTCTCAGTCCACAGACGGCAGGCTCCACTCCTCGGGGCTCGAGGGGAGGCAGGACATCATGGAGGAAGAGTGTGGTGGAGGGAAGCAACTCACATGGTGATCAGGAAGCAGAGAGAGACTCCACTCTCCAGAGACAAATAGAGACCCCAAAGCCACGCCCCCAATGCCCCTCCTCCAGCCACACCCACCTACCTCCAGCCACCACCCAGTTAATCCCATCAGGGGTTCATTCACTGGTTGGGTTAAGGCTCTCACAACCCAGTCATGTCTCCTCTGAACCTTCCTGCACTGTCTCACATGTGAGATTGTAGGGAATATCTAATATCTAAATCATAATGATAGCCAAAATATTCTAATTACGGTACCTTAGGAATTTGAGGAGTAATTTCCCTAAAGGTTTAGACAACTAAATTATAGTGTATGTAGATTATGTTATAATATATAAAGAAAATGTTTAGGCATTAAAAGTATTACATTCTTTGCTTATTTTTTCTTAATTGGGTTGTGGTTTTCTTTTTTTTTTCTTTAAATATTTTTTTACATGTTGATGGACCTTTATTTTATTCATTTATGTATACGTGGTTCTGAGAACCGAACCCAGTGCCTCACACATGCTAGGCCAGTGCTCTACCACTGAGCACAACCCCAGCCCAGTTGTGGTTTTCTTTTGGCTAAGTTTTAAGAGTCCTTCATTTATTCTAGATACCATTTGTACTTTTGGCTAAATTATTTATCAAGATTAGTGACTTTTTAAGTATCTTACATTCTGTAGCATGTTAAATTTTATGGGAATTGAATCTACCTTGTTTTATGCATGTGTATATATGTAAGTGTGTACAAGTTTTACAGTTTGGGAGAAATTAAAAATATTGGAATTAAAAAGAACATTAAAAAGTCAAGCATCAAAAGGAATTGAATAGACACTTTACAGAAAGAAGAAATACGATCGGTCAACAAATATATGAAAAATTTTCAACATTTCTAGCAATTAGAGAAATGCAAATTGAAACTACACTGAGATTCCATCTCACTCCTGGAAATTACCAAGAATATAGGTAACAATAAATGTTGGTGAGGATGGTGGAAAAGGTTTACTCATACATTGCTGGTGGGACTGCAGATTGGTGCAACCACTCTGGAAAGCAGTATGGAGATTCCTCAGGAAAACTGGGAATGGAACCACCATTTGACCAATTTATCCCACTCCTTGATTTATTCCCAAAGGACTTAAAATTAGCACATTACAGTGACACAGCCACATCAATGTTTATAGTAGTTCGATTCACAGTAGCCAAGCTTTGGAACCAACTTAGGTGCCCTTCAACAGATGAATGGATAAAGAAAATGTGATATATATGTACAATGGAATATTAATCAGCCATAAAGAAGAATGAAGTTATGGCATTTGCTGGTAAATGGATGGAACTGGAGGCTATCGTGGTGAGTGAAATAAGCCAATTACAAGAAAACAAAGGCCGAATATTCTCTCTAATATGCAGATGCTAACACACAATAAGCCAGGGGAAGAATAAAAGTTCATTGGATGAGACAAAGGGGAATGAAGGGAAGGGAGAGGATGGGAACAGGAAAGACAGTGGAATGAATGGGACAGAACTTTCCTCTGTTCATATATGAACACACGACCAGGGAAACCCCACATCATGTCCAACCACAAGAACGGGTAGTTTTACTCCATGTATGTATGACATGTTAAATATACTCTACGGTCATGTTTGCCAAAAAAGAACAAATTTTAAAAAGTTTTCGGAAGTTAAACATGGACTTAGCCACTTTGGACATCATATAGAAAACAGACATAAGAGGACTTTGAAAGGAGAAGCAAATAAAGTCTGCTACCTCGGTAGCTAAGGATCAGAGGAGCTACAGGTAGGCCATCTGGAGCTTTCTTTTGATTTCATTTACCCACGACTTGGAGCTAATGTAGCCTGCGGACCAGGAATACCAATGGAGAGGAGCACAGAAATCCTGATGAAACCTGCTTTCTCCAGCCCAGGACCAGACGGGGCATCCTCCCAGGACAGCTGTGTATTCAGCTGTGATTTGCCTAGTTTCAGAACTTAGAATTACCTGTGGACCCGATCCACTCCCGGCCCCCCAACTGTGGTTTAGCTGGGAACCTGGGCCTCTCCCCTGGGTCTGTGTGACAGAAGAACAGTCCCTCCTGCCATGTGCTTTCAGAAGAGGTTCCATGGAAAGCTGATACTCGGGTTGAAGCGATTCAGCAGCACTGCCCCCTCCCCACCTGGACAGGTGGGAGGGAGAGCCGGCATCTGATCTTCCCCCATTTGGCAGGAAGAGGTCACCTGCTCCTCCTCACTGGGGTGTTCATTGAAGAGTCACAAAGGAGGGGCAGGATTGTCACTTTCATCCAGTGGCAAATAGTCCACCCTCCTTTTATAGTCAGTGAGGCCACTTTGGGTGCAACAGTGAGATATTTCTGCCTCTTCCAGCCATGGCCTGATGGGGAGCTGGAACTGCTCTCCCTTTGCAGGGCGGGCAAGGATCCCCTTCCCCTTTCAGTGTCCATGAAAGCTAGGGGACATGGGAGTAATGGGTAGCACCCCTCTTTCTTCTCTGGAGTATTGTCAGGGAAAGTTAAAGTATAAAGTCCAGAGTCCTGTGAAGTAATACCCCAAATCTGCAGGTTAATAAAGAAAATCACTTCTTGTACCAAGAATAAGGACGATCTCAAGTTGGATGGGAAAAGCTAGTCTGTAGATGCAAAAACTAAGATGACAGAAATGTTACAGTTAGCTAACAAAAAAGACTTTTAAAGCCATCATTATAAAAATGTTTCAGTGAACAATTATAGACATGCTTAAAACAAAAGGAAAAAAGTCTCAGCAAAGATACATAGAATAGAAATGTTTGAAAATACAGTAGTCAAAATGAAAAGCTTGCTACATGGATTCAACATCCTCCCGCTCCTCCACACAAGAATGAAAAGGAGCCAGGAAAGAATCTGAGAACCTGAAGATGCAAATTAGAAATCACCCCAATGTGCCAGGTGCAGAGGTGCACACCTGTCATCCCAGTGGCTCGGGAGGCTGAGGCAGGAGGATTCGTGAGTTCGAAGCCAACCTCAGCAAAAGCAAGGCCCTAAGCAACTCAGTGAGACCCTGTCTCCAAATAAAATAGAAAATAGGGCTGGGGATGGGGCTCGGTGGTTAAGCACCCCTGGGTACCAAAAAAAAATCACCCAATATGAACAACGCATAACGTTGAGGGGAGGAGAGCGGAGAATAAAAGCTTCAAGCACTTTTGGATCAATAACAACAGAGTTGGCTGTCTTCAGAATCCCAGGAGAAAAGAAAGTGTGTGGGACCGGAGGGAAATAATGCTTGAAGAACGGATCTCTGAGATTTCCTCAAATATGGCAAAAGAAATCAACCTGCAGATTCAGGAAGCCGGGTGAGTGCAAAAAGAATGAACCCAAGGAGACGACACCAAGACAACTGTACATCACAGTGGAATTTCTGAAAACTGAGCTCAAAGATGTTGAACAAGAGGAGTGACACTTAGAGATGTGAGTAAAACCGTTCAAAGAACAGCTCTTTTGACCCAAGGAACCACAGAGGCGAGAAGGAAGTTGTTTTAGTCATTGTTTTTGCTGCTGTGAGTAAAAGACCCACTGAGAACAACTGTGGAGGAGGAAAAGTTTATTGGGGGCTCAGGGTTTCCGAGGTCTCAGTCCACAGACAGCAGGCTCCACTCCTCGGGGCTCAAGGGGAGGCAGGACATCATGGAGGAAGAGTGTGGTGGAGGGAAGCAGCTCACATGGTGATCAGGAAGCAGAGAGACTCCACTCTCCAGAGACAAATAGAGACCCCAAAGCCACGCCCCCAGTACCCCCTCCTCCAGCCACACCCACCTGCCTCCAGCCACCACCCAGTTAATCCCATCAGGGGTCCATTCACTGGTTGGGTTAAGGCTCTCACAACCCAGTCATGTCTCCTCTGGACCTTCCTGCACCGTCTCACATGTGAGCTTTTGGGGGACACCTCACATCCACATTACAACAGAAGTAGAACACATTTTTCAGATACTAAAAGAAAAGAGAGTCTTCTGCACCTAGTGGGAATATCCTACATCCTACAGAATGAAGGGAATCACGCCTCAGATGAAGACCTGTCACCATGGGCTGCTCTCCATGAGTGGCTAAAGAATATTTCTAAAGCAAAAGAGAATTCTAAAAAAAAAATACTCTTGGAACATGGAATAGAAGAATTAACAATGGAAAAATCAAAAATATAAGTAAATTTGATACATTTTTCTTCAACTCTTGGATTTTCTTAATTAAATTTGAAGATTACAGCAAAAGTAACACTCCGTAATATTTTTTCTAAATGTATGTAGAAAAAACCATTTTAGACATTTTATTATTGTTGATTGTGGTGTTGAGAGTGGTCCGCAGGACCTTGTGCATGGTAGGCAAGCTCTACCACAGAGGTATCAGCCAATGGTGTAGTTCCCAAGCCCAAGACAATTTTATTATAAATGAGGGCAGAAAAAGGAATATAGTGGAGAAAAGATTTATATACTTTAATCAAACCAGGGTAATATAATAACAGTAGATTGTGATAAGATATACACACATACACTTAAATATGTATATAAGTATATGTATATCTAAGTGTGTACATATAGTGTAATATAGTATATCTTATTACTTAGATTGTGGTAAGATACGTTAATATTTATATATAATCTAATGTACATATAATGTCCAACCTGAAGCAACCATTTAAAGAGTTTTAAAAAGAAATATAGCTGGGCACAGTGGTGCATTCCTATAATCCCAGAGGCTTGGGAAGCTGAGGCAAGAGGATCACAAGTTCAAAGCCAGCCTCAGCAACTTAGTGAGGTCCTAATCAACTCATTGAGACCCTGTCTCTAAAATATAAAAAAGGGCTGGGGATGAGGCTCAGGGGTTGAGAACCCCTGGGTTCAATCCCTGGAATGAAAAACAACAACCAAAAAAAGAAAGAAATAAAGAAACAAAATGTACTTAGGATATTATAAATAAATAAAAGTGGAACTCCAAAGTCAATTAAACCACAGGAAGCCTGGAAAAATAAAACAAAGTGGAAGACTTAAGGCATAACATCATGAATATTTATATTAATTAAACTAAATACATCAGTTAAAAGAATCACAAAGTGGATTAAAAAACACTACCCAATTATAGGCTGACTATAAACATTTATTCTGGGTATTAACAGTTTGTGTTGAAAGAAAAGAGAAAAATGGGTCTTACAGAGTGGCCATATTAATATCAGATAAAGTAGGAAATTTTCCAAAGTTTTTGGAAGGAAATAATATATTTCTAAAGAGCCCGTGAGTCAAAAAGGAAATCTCAAGAGAAACAAGCTAAGCCAATGATGAGAGGTAAATTTATAGCAGTAAGCACATCTACTAGAAATGAGGAGCAAAATCAACAATCTATACTCTTATCTCAGGAACCTAGAACAAGAAAAGTAAATCAAAATAAGCAAATGAAAGGCCATAATATAGAGAGAAATCAATGCCATTGAAAACAGAAAACCAAGGGGAAATCAAGGAATCAAACAACTCATTCTTCAAAATATTTACAAAAGCAGAATTTCTAGCAAGAATGTCAAACAAGGACTGGGGCGGTGGCTGAGGGGTAGAGCACTGGCCTAGCATGTGTGAGGCACTGGGTTTGATTCGCAGCACTGCATATATGAGTAAAATAAAGGTCCATCAATAACTAAAAATATATATTTAAACGTGGAATTTTTTTATTTAAAAAAAAAAGGAATTCCAAATAATGAGTTACAAAAATCCTTAATGTTAGAAAGGAAAGAGGGGACCACTCAGACCCTGAAGATATCTAATAAATAAGAGGGTTCCACCAACAAACCTGCCCACATACATTTAACAACTTGGATGAAATGGAGCCGTTCCTCAAGAAGCGCACACCACTGCAGCAAAAATAATATGAAACAGGTCATTCCAATAGCTCTCCAACTCTGAAGAAAAGTGAATCTGCAGTTTTGAAACTCCTGAAAAAGAAATCTTAGGCCCAGATTGTTTCCTTGGAGAATTCCACTAATCCTATAAAGAAAAATGAACCACATTTCTACACAGTTTCTCCCAGAAAAGAGAAGGGGGGAAGAAGCCTTCCTAATTATTTTTGTGAAACTGCTATTTCTCTGACTCTAAAGCTCAACAAAGAAGTAGGAAAAAAAAATATATGTACAAAAATCCTTAACAAGTATCAGCCAACAATATTTAGTAAGATACGTTGTACCTGCCCAGCGTAGTGGTGCAAGCCTATAATCCCAGCAGCCCGGGAAGCTGAGGCAGGAGGATCGTGAGTTCAAAGCCAGCCTCAGCAATGGTGAGGCAACAAGCAACTCAGTGAGACCCTGTCTCTAAATAAAATACAAAATAGGGCTGGGGATGTGGCTAGGTAGTTGAGTGCCCCCTGAGTTCAATCCGCGGTACCCTCTACCCCTGGCCGCCACCAAACAAAAAAAGACACATTGTTCCTATGACCAGTAGAAGTTGTTATAATATGTAGGGCTGGGTCAGTAGCATGTGTAAAGCCAAGTGATCCTCAGTAAAAATGAAATGAAATAAAATGCACACTATATTTTAATAGTCTAAAGAAAAAAAATCAAATTATCACATTAACACAGAAAAAGCATTTACAACACTGAGTATTCATAAGAAAACTTATCAGTAAATTAATAGTGGAATTTTCTTGATTTGATTAAAAGCATATATGAAAAATCTATAGTCACCATTATACTTAATAGTGAAAGAAGAAATACTTCCTGCATGTTTAAGAACAAGCCAAGGATTTCAGCACTCATCACTCTTATTCAAAATCATACTGAAGAAGGTCCCGGGTTGGGGCTCAGTGGTAGAGTGCTTGCCTAGCATGTGTGGGGCACTGGGTTTATCCTTAGCACCACATACAAATAAATAAGTAAAATAAAGGTATTGTGTCTGTCTACAACTAAAAATAAAAAAAAATTAAAAAATCATACCTAACCTCTAGCCAGTTTTATAAGCCAAGGAAAGCCAATGAGATTACAAAGGAAGAAACAAAACGGTCACCCTCTCTATGGATCGCAGGATTAGGAAGAGAATTATAGAACACTGTACTCAGAAAGATTCTTTCAGTTCACCACAGTTGCAAGATAAAAGGTCATATGAGTATTAATTTTATTGTCTACATCCTAGCAATACTTAGACACCCCCCATCCTTCCAGATCTATAGCCTAAACTTCCAACTTCAAAAAAAAATTGAGATTGCTGCCTAAACATTTAAAAAAAAAATAAAGAAAGAAAGAAAAGAAAAGGAAAATTTTTGAATTTCTTGTTTTCTTTTGTGGTTTGTAGCCAGAACTATTAGACTTGTCCTACCACTTAGCTGCACAATACTGGGTCCTCAAACAGAACGCTCCTTGCTCTGCTTTGGGAAACACAAAGGCAGACTTCTTCCAACTGTGCTGGTGACTTTTTTTTTTTTTTTTTTTTTTTTGGAACCAGGGATTGAACCCAGGGGCCCTTAACCACTGAGCCCCATCCGTAGCCCTTTTTATATTTTTCTTAGAGACAGGGTCTTTCTGAGTTGCTTAGGCCCTTGCCAAATTGCTGAGGCTGACTTTGAATTCCTCCTGCCTCAGCCTCCCCATTGCTGGGGGATTACAGGCCTGTGCCACCACACCCAGCTGGTGAGGTCTCTTATGTGCATGAAAGCCAGTGTCCTTGAGAATGTGTCTGTCCTTTCAGCTGTTGAAGGCCCTGATCACTGTTGAAAGACATCATGCACCTTGGGCTTGGACCCTCCAGAAGGTGCTGGGGCAGCATGTTTAGCGTCTCCACACTTTGTCTGGGTGGCCCAGGTTCTATTTACAATGGCTAATTAGGGGTTGCCTTCTGTGTATCGAGAACCTAATTTAGGATGCTGTCACGACTCATGTGTACGCGTGGGTTTGAGCCCCTTGTGTGAATTGCGGTCATTTCACACAGTCGTGGGGGTGCTCAGGAGTGAAGTAGCAGACTTCTCTGTGAATTCCAGCATCCAAGATTTAAGTCAGAGACACATTTAAAATAAATTAGAAATTGCTCTTTGGCAAATGTGAAGGCTAATAGGGTAAGTCTAGACAGTTACCAAGGCGAGCCATTGGTAACTCGTTTTTCAAACTGAAGCTGGTATTACATTTTCAGCTTGCAGTAATTGAATGATTGGAGCTCAGGCAGGGAAAGTGCCTCCTTGAGATTCTCCCCCGAGTGATTTTATCACTTCAAACTTCTGGTTTGAGTTTGCTGATGAAAAGGATCTTTGTTTTGTTTGAAGAGCAAATAGTCAAGCGTGGGTACTTCTTCTGTCGTTGGACTTTTTTCTTAACCCCATTTTAAAATGAATTTCTTTGCTTTCGTTTGTGAATTGCAGCCATAACACAAAAACAACGTCTTGGTTAGACCCTCGGTGCCTGAACAAACAGCAGAAGCCTCTAGAAGAGTGTGAAGATGATGGTAAGTTCTCAGAAGATTTGGCTCAGGTGAATTGGGGGCCTGTTCACAAGAGCAGACTTGAAAGAGTGATCCAAAGGTCCAGTGTGCTTTGTTTGTTTTTGGTACCAGGGATTGAACCCAAGGGTGCTCAACCACTGAGCCACATCCGCAGTCCCCTTTGTATTATATTTAGAGACAGGGTCTCACTGAGTTGCTTAGGATCTCACTAAGTTGCTGAGGCTGGCTTTGAACTTGCAATCCTCCTGCCTCAGCCTCCAAGCCACTGGGATTATAGCCACCACTCCCAGCTTCAATCTGTTTTTAATATCGAGCTTTGAAAAGGTAATTCAGTTTTGAAGTTGAGGACAGTAGCACATGCCTATAACCCCAGTTACTCAGGAGACAAGAGGCAGGAGAATCGAAAGTTCCAAACCAGTCTGGGCAACTTAGTAAGCCCCTGTTACAAAATAACATCTTTAAAAAGTGCTGATAGCTCAGTGGTATAACTCTTGCTTAACATGCATAAGGCCCTGGGTTAATAAGTTAATGCAATTTCTAGGAAATGCCCTGAGTTTACCAAAACAGGAGGAAATTGAGTAGGTTTGTTTTTTGTTTTGTTTAAACAACAATCCTTTATATACAAAGGAGGTGTACTATCTTATCTCCAGTGGAAACAGAACCTCAGTTCAGCCAGAAACAAAGGTACCCAATGAGGTATCTGCACTGGATACTTCCTATGCTGCAGATACCTCCTCTGCCTTCAGGGGGCCTGGTAAAGACTTCAGAAATTCTCTGAGCATATAGACACCTGCGGTGCTACTGGACCATCACCCTATGTTACAAAAATCTTAGGGGAAAAAATCAGGAGCTCTGTGGGTGCTCCTTGTTTGATAATTCTGTTATTTCCCCAATTTGGGGGCAGGGAGGAGAGCAGATTTTGATATGCTTGGGCATTTCCATGTGACTTAGGATGAACCCATACTGTCTGCAAAGTGTGTCCTCTGAGAAAGAGGCTGAGATGTTACTTACAGCCTCCAATCTCACTGCTCATCTTGGGATCAAAGTATCTGCCTGTGAAAGTTTTCATTGAAAAAGTTTGTTTCAAAACTTTGGGGTTTATAATTACTTCTCCAAAATGAAGAAAAAAAAAATTAAGACACAGCAAATTTGTACCCTTTTTAGCAGTACTCAGAAATCTCTCCCGAGCTCTACCAAAATTGCTTTTTGTTGTGGACTTTTTGAAAGGGAAATGGTTTTGTTCCTCATTATTCAATTCTGGCATTTGCATTAGCAGTATAATTATTCAGCACATATTTTTCCGTAAGACAACAGAACTATTAATTCATTCTATAGTGCAGAATTGTTGTGTATATAAATCTGAGGTTTGTTTGAAAATGCAAGCCAGTATTTTAAAGGATGCATCTTGTCGAAAACTTGCACTCCAAGATCTTCCCATTATACATGGTTTGCAGATTCCCTGGAATGACATGGAATTTTACATTCAGGTTTATCTCAGTGACTTCAAATGGAAATGCATGTCCTGCTAACCTAGGCTTGAGCGACTTGCTTATTTTGTTATTTAGTTCCATTCCTGAAGGAGTGGTGCAAGTCTGATCAGTTCTATTATTATTTTTTTTTTCATGCTCTGGGGACAATAGAATGTCCTGCTTATTTAAAGATTCTGTTTAGTATAGAATAGTTAAGTGACTAATTTTCAAAGATTAGAACATAAGACACGTTCAACCGTGAAACTTCATGGAACCACATCTGATCTGTATTTGAAGACTGATGATTTTGAAGGCCATTTACGACTCTATGTAGGGTTTTCAATGACAGAATGCATTGTAGCTACAGTGGGATTGTAGAAAATGCCTCTTAATATAATTTTAATGACTGCAAGAGCTTTTACTGAGGAAAAAAAAAAAACTATTAGTGGAATAAAGTACTGAGAAGAGTCCCTGAACAGTTTCATTATTGGTAATTTTAACTCTTAGAATTCTTACCATTTCATAAATTAATGTAATTTCCTTTAGCCCAAGTGTGTATCCCTAGCACATGCAGTTAGCTTCACAACTCCACTTTCAGCATTAGACTTTATATATTCTATTTCTACTATAAATAGATATATTTGTGTGTCTGTGCATACAAACCTTACAACTGCGTCATTGGAGGATGATGAATTTTGTTTTGCTTCTTCTCTTGCCAGTGAACATCAGGCTGCCTTGGGTGCTTGTTTAGATATTTGCTGTTTATATGTTATTACTTGTAACCATTATTGGTTACAAATGTTTCTACTCTCTGCAGTATAGCTGCCATGCTATGGTATGCCTTCGTACTTAATCATGGTGAAGGTTTAACGTTTTTCCATTTTGAGTGTGGGATTTTGATCTTTGGTGTATTAATTACTCCTTTGGTCCTTGCTCTCTGCAGCTAGTTCTCATAGAAACCTCCGACCTTGCCTTTGAGCTCTGGGCTAGGGTTTTAATCTGCCTGATTGATAATGCCAACTGGTGGTCTCAAAGAGACTTCAGACTCAGCCTGATTATAACCAAACTAATGATCTTGCCTCCCTCCCACCTCCCCACACACATGAGACCTGTCATAAGCGTTCCCCATCTCAGTTGAATGAAAATTCATGCATACCAAAGAGTCCTACTGATCGGGCACAGTGGTGCACCATAATCCCTGCTATTCCGGGGGCTGAGGCAGGGGAAGCCCAAGGTCAAAGCCATGGTCATCCTGGACAAGTTAGATCCGGTCTCAAAAAGAGCTGGGGGTGGAACTCTGTGGTCGAATGCCCCTGGGTTCAATCCCTAGTACCACAAATAAAGAAAAAAAAGGGGAAAGAAAGGGTCCTATTGAGTGGCCACCTTTCTTTGCACCCATTTCTAGTCTGTGAACCAGCTAAATTCACTCTTCCCCTACGTATTTCTGAAGTCCATTCCCTAATTCTTCACCTCCTCTGCCATTCCTAGCACACCTTTCTTTCTTAGGCTGAACCCAGAGCAGGTTTTGAAAATGTAACTGTGCCAATGCTGTCCCCGTCCCTGAGCACCCTCAGGCCCTACGTTCGTTCGGTGGCCTCCCAGTCTGCCCTGCGAGTGCCTGGTCCCCAGGTCACTTTCTCTAAGCCCCACGTGGTTCAGCTCCACCCAGGCTCTCTGCCCTTGTCCCCACCAGTCCTGAGTCCCTGCCCCTGGTAGGTAGGTGTGCACTTCTCTTCTCAGACTGCTCCTTCTCGTCACAGATGGTTATCCAGAACCTACTCTATGCCAGAATGCTCTTCCACCCTTCAGGGGTATCCGTGAGTGCAACGGACGGAAAGTCTGGCTTTCATAGCCACATCAGTTCCAGGCGTTTCCCACCTAAATTTGGCATATCCTTCAGATCATAGCTCAGAGACTCTCTCCACGATCCGTCCACTCTTGTGTGTATCTCATGCTAGAGACCTTTTTTTTTAAGTTGTAGATGGACACCATATCTTTTAGTGATTGATCGATTGATTGATTGATATGTGACACTGAGGATCGAACCCAGTGCCTCACACATGCCACACACGTGCTCCACCGCTGAGCCACAACCCCGGGCCCTCGCTCTAGAGATATTACCATAGTTTTAATTTTGGTTTTAATTTTGTCTCCTCTTCTCAAAGGGTAGACACATTTTCCTGCTTATTGTGATATCTCTGCCACCCACCACGATGACCGGCACATGATAGGTCCTTGTAAATTATACTGAAAGAAATGAATGAATGCTCCCAAAGATGGATAATATCCAGATAGGCATGTTCACAAATGATTTTTTTTTTTTTTATAACTCATCGCCAGTTGAAACTCACTGATGATAAACGGCTAGTTTCTTAAGTCAAATGCTTACAAGATATTTTTTTGTTTGTTTCTTTGTTTGTTGGGGGGTACCAGGGATTAAACTCAGGGGCACTCAACCACTGAGCCCCATCCCCAGCCCTATTTTGTATTTTATTGAGAGACAGGGTCTCCCTGAGTTGCTTAGGGCCTCGCTAAGTTGCTGAGGCTGGCTTTGAACTCAGCCTCCAAAGCTGCTGGGATTATAGGCATGCACCACAAGGTGTTTAAATTCCTGTTTGTTCCTTAATAATGGATCCACTCATTCATTCATTCATTCATTCATTCATTCAAGGAATATTTGTTACCTAACATGTTCCAGGAAACTCCCCTGGGCACTGAGCATGCCCTAGTAGTGAGAATAGACTCAACCTCTGTTGTCCCCATTTGGAACTTCCAGCAGAGGGGGCAGCCACCTACATTGCAATTGGGCCAACTTTATGTGTGAAAGGACTTTTGTGTGCTCTGCTGTGATGTCAGTAATAAAGCGTTTTATTGTCAGCATGAGGAGGCGTGGAATGGAAAGGATTTTACTCATTTTGCTTGCTGAAGTCAGTGAGAACATTTCACCTGTACTATTTCTGAATCATTTGACTTTTAAAACTTTTCTAGAAAGAAACACCCCACCCGGTAGACTCTGCCTCCCCACGCTCCTTCAGGGCATTCATCAAGCATCCCTTCCTGGGTGTGTTTCTCATCATGACTTAATTCATCTTTCTCTCCTCTTTGAAAGACTCTGAACTCATTGTACCCCCTGCTCTCTGAGTGCCACCTCCCCGTCCCTTTTCAAGCAGCCGTATTACTTATAAGTTAAGTAATTATTTAATTGTGCGTTTAATTGCCTCACTGATGAGTGGATTATTGGAGGATTAAAAGGACTCATATTGAAAAGTCTCACAGCTTTGTTGGCGGCAAATAAGGTCTGTAATAAGTGACTTCCCACTTAGGAACGTTGAGACCGCAAAGGTGTATTTCATCTTTTACAACCAATCAAGCCCTATTTTGGCATGCGAGGAAATGAGCCGTGTAATTATTTTGCCAATATCAGCTCTTACTGTTCTGTGATTCACGTTGAGGTCACACTTTCTGGCCAAGCCAATGAAATGAGCCACGGTGCAGGTAAGGACACAATCAAGTGATGGAGTTGCTGCTGTTATTTTTTTGTTTTGTTTTGTTTTTTAATTTTCTGTGGGGAGCTTCCGTCTTGGTGTTGGTGTCTGAATTTTTCTTTCTCTCTTTTCTGTCTCATTCCTGCTATTCCTTTGGAGAAGAAGGGGTACACACCGAGGAGCTGGACAGTGAACTAGGTAAACCCTCTGCTTGCCTGCCTGCCTGCAGCTGATGTCGCATGATTGATTACCCTGCATGATTTTATAAACTGCATGTTCTATTTTTTTTGTTTTGTTTTTTTGGTACCAGGGATTGAACTCAGGGGCCCTCGACCACTGAGCCCCATCCCCAGCCCTATTTTGTATTTTATTTAGAGACAGGGTCTCACTGAATTGCTTAGGGGCTTTCTAAGTTGCTGAGGCTGGCTTTGAACTCACCATCCTCCTGCCTCAGCCTCTCGAGCTGCAGGGATGACAGGCGTGCACCACTGCGCCTGGCCAAGGCTTTTGTTTTTAAGGATGTTTAATGCGTCGTCCTCTGATCATTGTGGTAGGAATGGCTTAAGGTTCAACGCTAAATTTCTTTAAAAAGAAGATGAAGAAGTCATCAATTTAATGATTAGATAATTGAAAAAGACAGGGCTAGGTTTTCCATATACAAAACAATTGTGTTGATCATTTGTGGAACCAATTTCAATCCCTCTTGCTACCTGAATGCTCTCTGTGAGTGGCCACTGGGGATCACACAGCTGTGCGCAGAGCAACCTTAGTTGCTTCTATGGAAGTTCAGATGGTAAAATTTCCAGAAGGAGCTTTCCGTGTTTCTCCCTGGGCCACTGTGATGGCCTTAAAGACCTCTAAAAGATGAGTTTTAATGATGCATGATTCCCTTCTCCTAGTCACAGCCGGAATTCTGGGAGGTGGGTGGTGCAGGGATGGAGGCGTCTCTGTGGTCTGACCAGACTGCCTGGCTCCCCTGCTTACTGCCTCTGTGACCTCAGCCAATATCCAGAATTGCCCATTACCTGACCCCACTTCTGTTTGCTTCCTTTTTATCAAAATGTATAAATTGGGGCTGAAAGAAGAGCTCTTGGAGATTTACTGAAAATGCATTTCTATATATGTCACTGTGATCAACTCATGGGCGCTATTGCTAGTTTTATTATCATCTAATTCTCATGGGATTTATCAATACTTCTTACAGCATTTTTTCCTTTTAACGAAAGTCAAGGAAGGAGTGTGTTCTGTCCTGCAGAAGTAGCCTGGATGTGTTTTAGTCTTGTTTTGTTTTTTAGTTAGTTTTTTTTTTTTTAATTGTACCAGGAATTGAACTCAGGGGCACTCAACCACGGAGCCCCATCCCCAGCCCTATTTTGTATTTTATTGAGAGACAGGGTCTCACTGAGTTGCTTAGGGCCTCACTAGTTGCTGAGGCTGGCTTTGAACTCATGATTCTCCTGCCTCAGCCTCCTGAGCCCCTGGTATGACAGGCGTGCACCACCGCGCCTGGTCTAGACGTGTTCTTTTAGGCAGGGTAGCAGCATGGCCCTTGGATTTTGCCTGCTTCTGTACCGTGTAACTCCTGGTCTGTGCACATGTGCAGACACACCCTTGGTCTTTTCTGTTGCATGTACCCTGGAGTCTGTTGACAAGCTCTCGGCCCATTTTCTCAATGAAAGGGTCCTAATTTCAAACAAAAGCATCGGTCAGGATTTCAGTGAATGGTGTGCCAAGGAAACCTCATTCTCTATAATCTGCCCCGAGTGGTACAGGCGGATGGCTGAGGTGCTGGACACAGACCATTTGGTTATGAAGTTGTCATTTCTGAGCTCTGTTGTTGGAGTTGGGTCAGTAGCTCCATTATGTACCTTTTGTTTGCTTAACTTATCTACATCTTCTGCAGAAGTCTTCCCAGAATGAAAAACAGAGCCTTCTTTTGTAACTACAGGGTTTTCTGGTGGTGAAACCAACTAGGGAAAGTAGAGACAAGAAAACCGAGTTCCCCTCCCCGTCAAAACTAAGGCACCGTTTTGGAATTCATCTTTGATCTGGAACACGATTTTCCAGGTGTACCCTGACAGATCTGTTGAAAGGAGCATAGAACATTACACTACTCAATATTTACTCCTGAAATGAAAAATGATATTGCGTGAAATTTTCAGAGGCAGGAATAGCAAGCAGGTGGGCTACAGAAATCCATCCTGGTCCTGTGTGCTCTCGGGTGGCAGCTGCTCTTTGTTGGATATTTGCTGAGGTCCATCCTGTGCTAAGTGTTTTTCAAGCATCCTCCTTTAATCCATGGTTGACCTTTGATGTGAACCCAGAAGAAAGGTTATGGTTCAGAGATGTTAAGTAACCAGCCCAAGGCCACAGAGCAAAAGAGCTAAGTGGAATTTAAGGTTAAATGCCAGATCCGGACAGTGCCAGAAAGATCTCAGTGTTCTTTAGTCTCCATAATGAATTTTATGGTCTTTGACAGTGGTTAGATATGGTGGGGTAGGGGCTCAGAAATCTTCAGTGCTTATTAAAAAAAAAAAAACTATAATAGAATGTATAATATTCTGGGCTTAAATATTTCCTGCCATTTTTAGTTTTTTTAGAACCAAATGGCAATTCTAGGACAAACATTTTCTTTCTTTCTTTTTTTTTTTTTTTAAATTGATGACCCACTTCTATTTTAAGCATTGGGAGACTAATTCCTATTATTAAGTTAATCACCACATTTGGAAGTGAGAAATCTATCTTTTCAATTCAAAAGGAGTTTTAACTTGAAGAACTGGAAAATTTCTGGAGTTGGTCCATCTGTTCCAGAAGTTTTAAAATCAGCCAATATCCAGAATTGCCCGTTAACTGACCCCACTCCTGAACTCTGGAATGTTAATAGGTTATTGATGGGGCAACAGGTCAAGATCCAGGAGTAGCTTTTCTTTTTCTCTTTTCGTGTCTCCATCAAATCACTGTCTGCTTGGGCAGTGAGCTTGTGTTTATCTTCATGTCGCTGTTGTCTGACATATCCTCGAGTAAACAGTTGGCACTCAATAAATGTTTATCTGCTTAATAGTTGGATACAGTAAATGCTTAATATCTTTCCCATTGTATCTAAGCAGGTCAAATATTTCAGGTTTCAGATTTTGAAAAGCAGTCTGGTTCTGTTAATGATCACCGGGCTCCCCCCTCTCTGACCCATCTTCTACCCCATACAAATGTCTGACTTTGCACCAATTTGCCTTTTTTTAATCTTCAATTTTCCAACTCTCTGGAAATATTTTCCTGGTTTATTTTCATTTAAATGGTCTTTTCCAGCTTAGTAAAGGGAAACTGTTTCCCAGGTGTTTGATTTGCATCAACCCATAAGACTTGGTTTATAAAAATGCCAAGTTGTATCAACATCTGCAAATTGGACCTGTCTTGAATTTTAGTAGCTTATGTCTCCTGAATTCAAATACTTTTTTAGGGGGCATTGAGGGGTTGAACTCAGGGGTACCCAACCACTGAGCCCCAGCCCCAGCCCTATTTTGTATTTTATTTAGAGACAGGGTCTCCCTGAGTGGCTTAGCACCTTGCTGTTGCTGAGGCTGGCTTTGAACTCGCGATCCTCCTGCCTCAGCCTCCAGAATCACTGGGATTACAGGCGTGGGCCACTGTACCTGGCTATTCACAGATGTCTAAAAAGCCTGTTGAATTTTGTTTTGTTTTTAATTAGCAAAAGAAGGGGAGGGGTACCTGTCTCCTTGTTTGCAGATAAATAACACATGGAGCAAAAACCATGAAGTTCACGTTTCTCCGTGTGCAGGCAAGTGTGAGCCAGACACAAACGTTGAGCAGTCTTGAGTGTGCTTGGGGGTGCACTCACACCTTCCTCTCATTCTGAAACTGTGGGTGGCACAGGTGGGTCCTCACTGATGTCACAGTCATCATTGGAAAATAGCGACCATATGATTCCCTGGATTTTAAAAAATCGATTTCAAAATGCATGGCATTTCAAGGGTGTACCGGACACCATTCAAATAGTTCCTCCTAGTTCCTTCCAGGAATCACGATCCACTTTGGAGTCTGGCTTAACACAAGCTTGCTTTGGCAGCGTGTATGACGGTGGCTTGAAAAGGAGTTGCATGATTGCAGCGCTCTCTAAAAAGGTGGTGTCACGCACGACATAAAATGCCACCTCATGGCTTTTTCCACCAAGTAAAATAATCGGATGCGAGGGGCTTCCCCACAATAGATTTCTTGTCACAGAGGTCGCTATTTCCTGATTAATGAAATTCCAAACTAAGATCTGAAACCTTTCGAAGTCACATCCAGTAGGTCATGGTTGAGTTTTTGAAAATCACGTATGTCTCCCAAAGCCATTTTCCTACCATATTTAAGGGAATGACATCTTCCCCCGTAGGTAGCCAGTTTTATTTATTTATTTAATTATTATTATTGTCATTATTCTTTTTTGGAGGGTGTACCAGGAACTGAATTACCAAGGAGCACATTTTCAGGCTTTTTGTATACTTTTCTATTTAGAGACAGGGCCTTCCTAAATTCCTTAGGGTTTCACTAAGTGGCTGAGGCTGGCTTTGAACTCGCGATCCTCCTGCCTCAGCCTCCCGAGTCGCTGCCATCACAGGTGTGTGCCCCAGTGCCTGGGTGTGTTACTTTTTTATAGGTGAAGTGCTGGGGACGATGGACTGGCCCAAACACAGAAACAGAGTGAGCTGTGTGTGTGCAATTCAAACACACTCCTTCATACGGGCATTTTTTATTTACTCAGTAGCATTTTAATTAGGAACATGGAGAAAAATAAGATGCAGATTTAATTTTCTTCCAGAGAAAGGGAAACAGTTCTGTTGAACTGAAAATGAAAAGAAACATTAATTTTCATCTGTTTTTGCCCTTGTGGTAAGGTAGCCTGGAAACCAAACAAGAAAACAGTAAATATTTCACGTAGGTACTAGAGCGTGCAAGGCAAGTTTTTAACTATTTCCATTAAAAACGAATTTAATAGTTGGTTTAAAATAAAAGGCAGCTGGGACAGCATTTTATTAAGTTTTATTTTCTTGCGTAAAACACCAGTAGATAAAGAGTTGTTCTTCATGAGAAAAGTGCACTCAAGAAATAAAAGGAGTATGCACTTCTTTTTGGTTAGGATATACAGTTTTAATTGGGTTCAAAGACTTCTTTTTTTGAGGGGGTGGATACCAGGGATTGAACTCAGGGGCACTCGACCACTGAGCCCCATCCCCAGCCCTATTTTATATTTTATTTAGAGACAGGGTCTCACTGAGTTGCTTAGCACTTTGCTTTTGCTGAGGCTGGCTTTGAACTTGAGATCCTCCTGCCTCAGCCTCCTGAGCTGCTGGGACGACAGATGTGCACCATCATGCCTCGCAGGGGTTTAAGGCCTTCTTATGAGACTTTTTCTTTTTCTTTCTTTCTTTTTTTTTGGCCTACCTCAGTTGTCAATGGTCCTCAGGCTCTTCAAGAATCTGTTCTTCTTGTTCTAAATATTCTTTTATATTTCAGAACTGCCTGCTGGTTGGGAAAAGATCGAAGATCCTGTCTATGGTGTCTACTATGTAGAGTAAGTGGCTGTTCTTGTGTATGCTTCTGCTAAGCGGAGTTCGCCATCATGATCCTCTGCCCACTAATTATGATATTAATTTCATACTGAAAATGCGTATGTCTGTTTTAATGAATGAGAAGATAATTCCGTGCATCCAAAGATAGTAAATTCCATTATTAAATTCAGGAGGGCAGGATCCACGTCTTCAACCATTTCACAAAGGCTGAACAGAGTCCTGACAAATGATAGGTACTTAATAAGTGTCAGCTGAGGACATCGATTGAGAAAGCTGGGGCGTGAGGAAGCAGGGTTGTGGATCTTCAGGAGGAGGACCCACGTGGCCTACTTTTTGCCTTACCCAGGCACCAAAAAACAAACAAACAAAAAAAGTCACTGAAAATATACTCAAATGGTTGGGTGAATTTTAATAACTTATGAAATGTTGCCAAGATTAAGAAGGAAATGGAGAATAGGCTTCAGGATCTGTGATCTAGGTGCTTTGGGGCTGTTTCCTTCCAGAGGACATTTCTTATGGAAGTTTCAAAGCCTTATGGTGACCCCGTCACCCTGTGCCTTATCCCAGCATTGGGCACGCACTTTGTATTCATCAGAATCATCCACCCATAGGATGATTCCAAAGAAAATTAAAAAAAAATAGAGAGATAATTTAAAAACCTCACTGGCAATTTGGGGCAGAAGAGAGGTCATTTCTCAGACCCTCCTAAAACTAGAATTTCCTTTGTAAACCCCAGAGGTCGTCTTCCTTACAGTTACAGAGTGAGCTCTGTGTTGTTTGAAGCTCATGTTGCTTTGCCTTTCAATTAGCTTGTGCCTTGAGTAAGAAAAGGAACAGAGGAGAGTCATTTTGGTGGCTGATGTGACTTGATTTTTTGAGGGGCAAGGAGCGAGGTCATAGGATATGCGCATAGCCCTGTATGTGCTTATTTATGTACATTTCCACACACCCCCTAAAACGGCAGAAAACCGTGTGTGTGTGTGTGTGTGTGTGTGTGTATGTGTGTGTGTGTGTTTGCCATGGTTTTATTCCTTACAACAGCCATCGAAATTGTCCTGGTCTTTGTCACTTTGAAAACATCACATCTGCTCAAGTTAGCTCTTATTTGCAGTCTCTCTGCCCAAGGGCTATACTTGGAATCCTGCCTCCTTGGGAACTGATCAAAATAGTTGACAGTTGTTAGTTAGTAGATGTGAGTGGATTCTTTTCTTAGTTTTGCAGTTTAGGTGAATGATCATGCGAACACTACTGTAGAAAGTCACTCGGCAGCTGTGGTATTACATGTTCCAGACAACATCATGCATCCACTTTTATCTTTCAACTGTTTTATAATCTACTTCTTCGTTGGGATTTAAGCAATTTCCTTGTCACTCGATACCTTGGGCATTTAGGTCGAGTCAGTGGTTAGAATTCTGGGATTTGAAATCAAACACACTTGAGCTGGCATGTGTGGGTATTGGGTCCCAACTATATTAGGTGAATTATTCACTAATGAAAAATCGACTTTCCTCATTGATAAAATCCTGTAGTCTCCCATTACTCATAGTTTTGCTTCCTGTGTTTTCAGTTACCGAAGGTCAGCTATGTTCTGAAAATAGTAAATGGAAAACTGCAGAAATAAATCACTTAGGAAGTTTCAAATTGCATGGGATTCTGATTCAGCCATCCCACTCCATCAACCTTGGGACAGAAGGATCCCTTTGTCCAGTGTATCCACGCTCTATATACTACCTTCCAGTTACTCTGTTCAGTAACTGTATCCGTTATCAGACTGACTATCATGGTATCACAATGCTTTTTTTCAAATTAACCTTATTTTACTTAATAATGGCCCCAAAGCACAAGAATAATGATGCTGTCAATTGGGGCACCCTCATGTGGAGCCAGAAGTGTTTTAAATGAAAAGGTGACAGTTCACAATCTAAGGAGAAAAAAAATTATATGCTGAGGTTGGTAAGATCTCCCGTAGGTGATTGTTGTTAATCTTGTACGTAAAGGACCAAAAACCATAGTATACGTAGGGTTTCATGTTATCCCTGATTCCAGTCATCCATGAGGGGTCTGGAAATGTATCCTTCAGGAACAAGAGGGTACTACTGTGTGCATACGGGTAGCACTTGCCTCAAGGCATCTACTAAGTCTTCTCACATAAAATACAGCATCATCCGCTTGGTGCAAGTAAGCAGCCTGTAATGGGAAGCTCTTTTTTCATCTCCCCCTTTTATGGGTGCATTTGACACTGGAGTCAACCTCAGACCACCCGCTTTGTTCACTGCTAATCCAGGGATGGGCTTTCTGCTAGTGGGATGCCCGTGTTCCAGCTGAAACCTGTTTGCCTTCCTCCCCAGCCACATCAACAGGAAGACTCAGTATGAGAACCCAGTTCTAGAAGCCAAACGGAAGAAGCAGCAACAACAGCAGCAGCAGCAGCAGCAGCAATCCCAGCAGCCGCCACCCCCAGAAGGTCAGCCTCTTCCCTGGAGGCTTTTTTACTCAAGCTGGGAATGTGGGGCAAAGGTGGGCACTGACGCCCCCTTGTGGTCAGAGCTGGCCTCGGTGATCAAGTGCTTCTACCTCACTAAGGAGCTGCTGCTAGACACTGCTCCCCAGACCCCACGGGAGGGCTAACGGGGGGAGCCCAGCTCAAAGGCATCCGCATATCCACTTTAATTTAGAAGGCAGAAAACTTTCTTGCTCCAGAAGCCTTGGCTTTGCAATCAGTGCCTTTTAAGTGATTTTACTTTCGGCAAGGGTCCTGGGCATGCCTTTCATTTAGGAACACTGTATAAGAATCAGAAAGAGTTGGTAATTTGGAGGGCTTTTTAAAATTTAAAATGACCTCCCTTGTAAAAAACAGAAACCGTTTAGGTGTGTAGATATTAAATTCTCTAATGCTCTCTGCCATCTTGTTCTCAGAGGTATATACTGCAAAAATTTTCTAAGGATGCTACATATGTTAACAAAAATCAGATAATTTTGTGGGTATGTGTATGTCATTTTCCTGTTTTTCCTCACTTTTTGTTTCTTGCTTTTGCTTCGAAGGTCTTTAAAGCAACCTTACCTAATATTTTTTTTTTCTTTGAACCAGAAATTGAACCCAGGGTCACTTCACCACTGAGTCACACCCCAGCCCTTTTTATAGTTTATTTGAGACGGGGTCTTGCTAAGTTGCTGAGGCTGGCTTTGAACTTGAGATCCTCCTGGCTCAGCCTCTCGAGCCTCTGGGATTATAGGCGTGCCCCACCACACCTGGCATGTTAGTCTTTTTTGATACATATAACCGGTCTCTTGTCTATTCACCTCTACTATTGTAAAACACCCCTAGGCAGTATATAACTGAATAGGTGTACCTGTGTGTCAGTAAAACTTTACTTATGGTTGCGGGAATTTGAACTTTGTATAATTTTCATGTGTCATAAAATATTCCTTTTCTTTATTTTTTTCAGCCATTTAAAAATCTAAAAACTTGCCCAGACATGTTGTTGCATACCTGTAATCCCAGCTGCTTGGGAGGCTGGGGCAGGAGGATCTTTAGGTCAAGGCCAGCCTCAGCAAGTTAGCAATTAGCAAAACCCTGTCTCAAAATAAAAAAAAAGAGAGAGAAAGTGCTGATGATGAGAAAAAAAAAAGAATGTTACTCTGTCTCAAAGACTAGATACATAGAGACATTGGGTCCAGTCTGGGATATGGGCGGGGTTTGCCAACTGCTGCCCTGAACCATGTAAATTTTGACAGAGTGTAATGCGTGTATATATTTGCCAGTTTCAAAGTTCTCTAAGTCTCTTCTGTTTAAAAAAAATTTTAAAAAAATATATTTTTTTCCCAAACTGGTGAAACTTGGCCTGTTGGAAATTACCATTTGGGCAGTGGGGATGCGATTGAATATAGAAACTGAGCTAGAAAGTAGCTGTGGTGGTTCTCAAGAGTCAGGGTGCCGTGGTGCACACCTGTCATCCCAGTGGCTCAGGAGGCTGAGGCAGGAGGATTGCAAGTTCAAAACCAGCCTCAGCAATTTAGGGAGGCCCTAAGCAACTCAGTAAGACTCTGTCTCTAAATAAAAGACAAAATATGGCTGGGGATGTGGCTCAGAGGTCGAGGGACATAACAATACAACAGAGCCCACAGGTCCCATTTGGGTTTTAGAGATGACAGAAATCAGCACCTGAGCAAACGGTGGACATCCATCTTCATGTAGCTCATGAGAAACCCAGGCTGCGCCAGACCAGCCAAGGTCTCATCCCCATCAGGAAAGTTTCTTGGCCTGCTGCTCGTGGGTGATTTCCTGTCTCCACTGGTATTTTTTTTTTTTTTTTTTAATCTCACTTTGGACTCTCCTGAGAGAATTGCAGTCTTTATTGGGCATACCACAGTATTTTTCCCCAGGCATATTAAATGAGACCAAGAGATCCTGAAATCCTTCCTATGAAGAGGTCAGACACCAGCTCCTTTCTCATCTGAGCTCTGTCCTCCGTTCTGTGGGTTTGCATGTGATGAATGAGGAGGTGAGTTGTTTGGAAGCTGACCGTGCCTTTGGAGGGAAAGGCAGGAAATCCTTTCTTGTCTTTCTTGCAGATTGGACAGAAGATCATTCATCCCTTGTGCCTCCTGTTATTCCAAACCACCCCCCAAGCAATCCGGAGCCAACCAGGGAAGCTCCACTTCAGGGTAAAATGTTTTTTACAATTGCATCTTGGTTTCTACTCACAAAGTCTCATTTATAAAAGTCACTTTAAAAAGGGGGAATCTTGGACAGGCAGTGATACATGCCTATAATCCCAGCAACTCGGGAGGCTGAGGCAGGAGGATCTCGAGTTCAAAGCCAGCCTCAGCAATGGTGAGGTGCGAAGCAACTCAGAGAGACCCTGTCTCTACATAAAATAGAAAATAAGGCTGGGGATGGGGCTCAGTGGTACAGTGCCTCTGAGTTCAATCTCCGGTATCGCCCCCCCACCCCCAAAAAGTGGGCTTTTGTAACCTCCAAGTCTTTCCTTTGATTCAACAAACCATAAATAGTGAAAGCAAATCTAAATGTATTGTTAATCAGACTCAAAAATTAGGAACTTTTCTAAGTAGAGTTCTTCAGCTACTTGTAATCCTCTAAAAATAATGATGCCTGTTCAATGACCATTGAAATCCGCTTTCTCAACCTCAGCACTGTTGACTGACCTTTGGGGTTCGATGATTCTTTGGATGAGGCCTTTCCTGTACCTTCTGAATGTTCAGCGGCATTCGGGTCCCCTGTCCATTAGACGTTAGGAGCTCACACCCCACCTCTTACCCTTCACCTTATGACAACCAAAAATGTCCCTAGACATTGCCAAATGCCCCCAGGGAACAAACCAACCTGGATTTGGAAATGGCTGATATACAAACTATTAATATTTAATACCATATCCAATAGGAGAAATTCAAAGCTCAGACATAGATATTTTAAGATTCTAGTTAGCATATTTTGTTGTTGTTTTGGTACTGGGGATTGAACCCAGGGGCCCTTAACCACTGAGCCCCATCCCCAGCCTTTTTGGGTATTTTATTTAGAGACAGAGTTGCTTTGTGCCTAAGTGGATGAGGCTGGCTTTGAACTTGAGATCCTCCTGCCTCAGCCTCCTAAGCGGCTGGAAATATAGTCATGAGCCACCACGCCTAGAGCATATTTGTTTTTGACTTAAGTTTTTTTCTGTAAACATAAATCCTTTGGTATTATTATATTTTCTTATCCTGTTCTTGTTATCTTCGGGATGTGTTTTATGACCAGACACACACTTCTGCATGTTTTACATCATGTCTGCGGGTCTTTCTCACTTTGATTCACAAAAAGTATGCGTCCCCTAGAGAGGACCATTTTTGACAATTGGAAGCTCCCAAACCTAGCCACTTTGGGACCTCATTACTCTTCCATGCTAAGAAAGGTGTCTGGTGCTTTTTGTTATTGTTGTTGTTTAATTTCTTTCACAAATGAAAAACAGAGCAAATGCCATGTTTGATAGGGTTGGGGAATGTTTATGGTAAAGAACTATTAAAAATACTATAAAATGTATCTTCACTTCTACACTTTTTTTTAACAAGATATAATTGTTAGATATGAAAAGATAGGGAAAAAATCTTTTCTCTTATTTTGATCCCTCATTATAATTTTTTCAAGAAAGAAATGGTCTCTCTGCTCGCCACCTTGTCACGAGGGCAGGGTTAGTGTCACTGTGTGTTAAGTGCTGTGTTCTGGCCTGAGTGTGCTCCTTCATGGTGATAATGGCTTTGACAAAGGCAGAACACGATCTGTAACCGTGGATCCATCCCAGTCAGCATGATAGTGACTTCCTCAGTCCTTTTTACATATGAGTTCCTTCTTTGAGTCTTGTCCCCTCACCTTGCTGTCTCCCAGAGTCTCCTCTAAGATCCTGAAGCCTGTCCCCACCTGGGGACTGCAGAGGGTCTGCATAGGCTGTTCCCTGTGCAGTTCCTTCCCTCCCAGTCTTTGTGTAACCCTGTGTGTTTTAGGTCTTTAATCAATTCCCCTCCGATATTCACCCCCAACAACCTCTACATCTCACTTTAAGAACTCAGCAGTTACCGTGTTCATTGATGGTACTGTGTTCTTTTTTCATATATTATATATACGTATTCCCTAATTTCATTAGTGAGCAAAACTGATACCCTGAAGGTATACAAGTAGGGCACAGGTGATAACGAAGCAATAGAAGACTTTCAGCTGGACTTACACAGAATTAAGATGATAGTTGTTACATATCATCCTAACTCCTGGTGGTACAGTTGTTGTTTTTGTTTTTTAATTGTTTATATTTGGGGAGTGGGGTGGGTACCAGGGATGGAACTCAGGGGCACTCGACCACTGACCCCATCCCCAGCTCCATTTTATCTTTTATTTAGAAACAGGGTCTCACTGAGTTTCTTAGGGTCTCACTAAGTTGCTGAGGCTGGCTTCGAACTCACGATCCTCCTGCCTCGGCCTCCTGAGCTGCTGGGATCACAGGCGTGCACCACTGCATCCGGGTCCCTGGCACTGTTTTTTTTTTTTTTAATAGTAATTTCCCCTGTTAGATTTTAAATCCCATGGAGGCACAAACTATATGGTATTTTTTTTTCCTTTATTGCAGGATAATCCCAAATTAGGTAGACTGCTATGTTTTATCTGCTGCAATTATTATTGGGTGAAGCAGTGCACATATCCATTTATGTATCCACACATACCTATGATAGTCAGCTACCAAAGAATTGTCTTCAAGATGAAAGTCTTAATGGGTCAGGTTTTGGGTGCCAAATGCTCAGAGCACCAACTAAGAACCCTGGTGATATTTTGCTGTGGTTGTTCTTGTCAGATATCTGTGGCAGGAGCGTGCATTCTGACCTCTCACACAGACATGGAGTCTAGCTTCCCAGTCTTGGGGCTGTCCATGCTGTGGAGTCGCACTGGTCCTGAGTTCATATATGAGCCTAGGAAAGCCATGACTGAGCCCCATCCCCAGCCCTTTTTTATATTTTACTTAGAGACAGGGTCTTGCTGAGTTACTTAGGGCCTCACTAAACTGCTGAGGCTGGCTTTGAACTCAGGATCCTCCTGCCTCAGCCTCCTGAACTGCTGGGATGACAGGTGTGCACCACCACGCCCGGCTGGTTAAGCAGCTTGATGTGCCCTCTAGCATCTTGTGTCTTGCGTTGTATCCAGTGTTCATGGAGCCAGCAGGAGGAAGCCCAGTTGCTAACTTGGTTAGCTGGTTGGTGTGAATTTTGTTGAGATCACTGTTCACTAGCCTCTCCTTTCTTCGAGCCCCAACTTCCAATCCCAGCAAGCGATTCTTTGAGAGATGCGCTCACAGGCAAGCTCCTCTGCTTCAAGCTTGAAGAGAGGTTTTTCCCGGCATCTGTCCACCCTACTCACTCCACCACCAGCAACATAGTCACTCATTTTTTGTGTCCCTATTATGTACCAGGCACATCCCTAAATATTTTATTATGGGTTTTCCTTATGACTCTCGCCTGTGGTAGGTACCTCCATTTGCATATGTAAAGCTCAGGCAGAATGGTGTAGTAACTTGCCCAAGAACAATAGCTTTTCTTTCTAATATCTTTTTTATTTTTATTTATTTTTATGTGGTGCTGAGGCCTCACGTGTGCTCAGCGAGTGCTCTACCACGGAGCCGCGACCCCAGCCCAGCTTTTGTTTTTTAATTCAATTGAATTCATCAAATTACAATTAAAAAATCGGGAGTTGGAACTTTTGAATCACAATCAAAAAAATAAATTGAATTACAACAAAGCTGGTTTCCTCTGTCCCACTGGGCACATTTTAGGGGTGCGGTCACTGAGTGGACTACAGGCTGCCACATTGAATAATGAACATACAGAGTATTTTTATCACTGTAGGAAGTGCTGTTCCTGGGGAATTCAAACCCTTGAGCCAAGAACTGTTCAGGCCTGGCAGTAAGACAATCCCTAAGGGTTATTGTGGTGTAGAATTTTTTGGACCCAAACCCAGAAGATCCTGACTCAGTGAGTCTGGGTTTAGAACTAAAGTCAGTACATCTTGATAAACCACCCGGGGTGAGTTCCAGACACAGCCAGGTCTTAAAACTGCTGATAAATCAACAGAAGTTCAAATCTCAGAAAATTGTACCCTGCTTTGGAAAAAAAAAAAAAAGTAATTTCTTTCCAAAATCTGCATTAACTAATGACCCACCTGAACATAAAACCATAATAAAATGTGCATGAGTGTGAAAACCTTCTGATCTTCCCTCTCTAGGTGGGAACGGAAGTCAGTAGCGAACTCATGTCTTTATTAAGTTGAAACCATTATCAAGCACAAAATATGCTAATGATTGGCTTTTTAAAAATCTTGAGGGTGCGGTGGCTGAGGCAGGAGGATCATGAGTTCAAAGCCAGCCTCAGCAAAAGTGAGGCGCTAAGCCACTCAGGGAGACCCTGTCTCTGAATAAAATACAAAATAGGGCTGGGGATGGGGCTCAGTGGTCCTGCCTCAGCCTTCCAGATGGGTGGGTTTCGGGCGTGTGGCACTGTGTCTGGCTGAGCTGGCCTCTGTTTTCAGCCATGGTTGGTTAAACTCCCAATAAGCCCTGGGATGGCTCTAGAGAGAGGAGCGAGCAGAACTTGACTGGGGACCATTTAAAAGAGCCTTCCTTTTTCTTTTTCTTAAGAGCCAGAAACTTTTATAATGTGCAATTAAAAATTGTATGCATGCCCAGAGACCTTTTAAGTCCTTTTAGTTACCGCGAACCAAAAATAACTCTCCTTCCTGGGTGCCAGGCTCCTCATGCCTTGGGGTGTGTGGGACTTTTTCTTGTTTTTTTTCCTTTTAATACCAGGGATAGAACCCAGCCCTGTTTACTTTTTATTCTGAGCTAGGTCCTCCCTATGTTGCAGAGGCTGGTCTCAAACTGGCAATCCTCCTGCCTCAGCCTCTTAAATGGCTTGACCTTTGTTTTTGTTTTTTGTTTTTGGATAACATTTTTGACAGGAAAGAAACCAGGCGGATGAGGAAGCTGTGGCCAGGAGAAGTCATAGGAAATGAAATTAGGAGAGAGAAAAAGTGCTCTCTGTAATCCCAGAGGATTACAGCACTGGTGCTGTTCGGTATAACGAGAGAAATTCCAGGGGTTTCTCAGAGAAATTTCTAATAAAGCCCCAAGGAAGACTTTTTCGATTTGTACTTAAAATGCTATTTGTGAATGTATCAGGAAAACTCAATATAACCTTAGGGAGTATGCTTGGGAGTTATTTTTTTAAATATTTGATTTTTAGTTATAGGTGGCACACAGTATCTTTATTTCATTTTGACGTGGTGCTGAGGATGGAACCCAGTGCCTCCCTCCCACATGCTAGGTGAGCGCTCTACCACGGAGCCCCAGCCCCAGCCCTGCCTGGGAGCTATTTGTCCATTAATTTGTTTTAAGCAAGACAGCAGGGTTTGAAGCTCCTATGATCCTAGTGAGTAACTACTTTAGTTCAAGGGTTTTACTTTAGCTTATGGCTTTAAGTATCCTAAGCCAAATGACTGAAGCTTTTCTTAAAGAGTAAGCCTTAGCGATGGACATATTTCGGCTATTTCACAAATTGTTAAAAGATGCGAATAAATAGCAAAAGTTAGTTGACTGTAAAATTTCATTCCAAGTAATGAGCTTTAATTTTCATGATAGTGATTCTATGTCACATTTTGTGACCATGATTTTTTTTTTTGGGTGAGGAGAGGCATTCTTCTTATCTGCCCATCTGGTTAAAAACTAAGGTTTTGCCCAGTTGGTCTTAAATGTAGAAGCCAAGCCCAACCCAGCACCTCAGAAGCCATGCTACAAAATAAAAAAATAAAAGAAATTGGGCGTGGTGGCGCGCGCCTGTAATCCCAGCAGCTCAGGAGACTGAGGCAGGAGGATTACCAGTTCAAAGCCAGCCTCAGCAATTTAGGGAGGCCCTCAGCAACTAAAAATCCCGTCTTTAAATAAGATATTTAAAAAAGGCTGTGGCTCAGTGGTTAAGCATCTCTGGGTTCAATCCCCAGCACCATCAATCGATCAATCAATCAATCAAAAGACACCAAACAAAGACTGACTGTTTTCTGTGGCAGTCAGAACTACAAGAACTGAAACTAAGGAAGGCTGTCATCTTGTGGGGACTGATCTTGTCCTCTTTTCTATCTTTCTCTGGGCCCTAAAGATGCCCCCCTCTGTGTACAATACCAACTTCCTACACAGGGCCTCAGAACATCTATCCCTGAAGTCAGGAGAGGACCTCATTTTAATTTGTGCATTTTAATCAGACCGAAGGGGACACACAGTGGCACAATCGTACATGCACACATTACATAATTTGGTCCATTTCTCCCCCTCATACCAAGCAGAGCACTTTCTCAGGACCCCTTTTGTGCCAAAGACCCCAGCCTGCGAGCTTGGAGAGCCCCCTCCCCCCAGCCCTCCCTCCCCCCCTGCCCCCCCTTCACTGACTGAGTCCACTTTCCGCCCACAGTGACTTTCCTTGTGCCTTTCTTGTTGGTACCAGGCAAACCCTTTTTTACACGAAACCCTTCTGAGTTGAAAGGCAAGTTCATCCACACGAAGCTGCGGAAAAGCAGTCGTGGCTTCGGCTTCACGGTAGTTGGAGGGGACGAACCCGATGAGTTCCTCCAGATCAAGAGCTTGGTCCTGGACGGTCCTGCCGCCCTGGATGGCAAGATGGAAACAGGTAAGGTCCCCAGGGCCCCTGCATGTGCTGTGCAGTGAGACTCCACCCACGCCTGAGCTGGCTGTCACCAAACGACTCGTGGTTCATAAATGTCCTCTGCACACCTTGGGATGAGCTGGAGCCCTCCATTACCAAAATTCAACCCTTGGTGCAGATCAAAACCTCCAAAGCCATTTGAATTTGGGGGAGCTGTTAGGGTGCTATTGAATACAGTGATCCAGCAATTTACTAAAAATGTGGAGCCATTTGAAGAAATGGGTGCTAAACTTGGATCTCTCCACAATGAGAATTTCTATAGAGAAGAAAGCACCAGTGTTCTCTTAATGATGATAATCTTCTCATTAGCAAGGAAGGCAGTAGGTGCTACAAGAGAAGCAAAGAGCTGGCATTAAGGTGGCTCACGCCTGTCATCCCAGTGGCTCAGGAGGCTGAAGCAGGAGGATCCTGAGTTCAAAGCCAGCCTCAGCAAAAGCGAGGCCCTAAGCAACTTGGTGAGACCCTGTCTCTAATTAAAATAATTTTAAAAGGGCTGGGGATGGGGCTCAGTGGTTAAGTGCCCCTGGGTTCAATCCTGGTACAAAAAAAAAAAAAAAAGATAGAAGCTTTCTTTTTATGCCTCATGGTATTAGTCCCAAGCCCAAGTCCAGGTTCAGCGTTGTGTTCAGTGGGGGTGTGAAGGAGGCAGAATTTTGCATCTGCTCTCTACGAGCTTTTGACTGGGCCTGAGAATATTATAAGACAGGTGAAGAGATAAAAACGTACAGGCTCATTGAATATGAGTCTTATGTGCCCGGGGACCACGTTACGGAAGTGCAAACCAAAAGATGCGGTGAGAACCCAGCACCTAGGGAGTTGCACCTAGAGTACCAGGTGGTGACAATGGGCCAAGACCAAGCAGCTGGGGACACTGTGGGTCACTGGGTGCAGAAGTGAATGGGAAGGTAAGGTTGGCTTCACAGGGTTGGTGCGTCCAGATTCCTCTGGTTTGATTTCCTATTCGTGATAGGAATGTTAATGAAGTGAGAATGTCACTTCTAAGAAGGACAGCTTCCATGTGAAATTTCACCTCCTTTGCATATCTAATTTTGGGGAGGGACTGGGGGGTACCAGGGATTGAACTCAGGGGCACTCTACCACTGAGCCCCCTCCCCAGCCCTATTTTGTATTTTATTTAGAGACAGGGTCTCCCTGAGTTGCTTAGGGCCTCGCTAACTAAGGCTGGCTTTGAACTCACCATCCTCCTGCCTCAGCCTCCTGAGCCCCTGGGATGACGGGCGGGCGCCATTGCGCCTGCCTAATTTTTTAAAGTGTCTTTTTGCTCAAAATAATCCCTGCCCCAAAGGGGCATGATGTGGGGTGGTGGGTTCTGGACATGGGTGGGATGGTTTCATATCTACCTGTTCTTGACACCTCCCCCCAAACCCTGACCTTTTCCAGGCGATGTCATTGTCAGCGTGAACGACACCTGCGTCCTGGGACACACGCACGCGCAAGTTGTGAAAATCTTCCAGTCTATCCCCATTGGTGCCAGCGTGGACCTTGAACTCTGCCGAGGTTACCCATTGCCTTTTGACCCAGATGACCCCAACACCAGTTTAGTGACCTCGGTGGCTATTTTGGACAAAGAGCCCATTATCGTGAACGGACAGGAGACCTACGATTCCCCAGCGAGCCACAGCAGTAAAACAGGCAAAGCCAGCAGCATGAGGGACGCCAGGCCCAGCAGCCCCGCGGACGTGGCCTCCACCGGCTCCCACGGGTACCCCAACGACACCGTGTCCTTGGCCTCGTCCATCGCCACGCAGCCGGAGCTCATCACCGTGCACATAGTCAAGGGGCCCATGGGCTTCGGGTTCACTATCGCCGACAGCCCGGGGGGTGGGGGCCAGAGAGTGAAGCAGATCGTGGACAGTCTGAGGTGCCGGGGCTTGAAAGAAGGGGACCTCATCGTGGAGGTCAATAAGAAGAACGTGCAGGCCTTGAGTCACAACCAGGTGGTGGATATGCTCATCGAGTGTCCCAAGGGAAGCGAGGTCACCCTGTTGGTGCAGCGAGGAGGTATGTAAGTTTGCTCTGTGACCCTGAGATGCATGGCTTAGTGTCCTTACTGGTCTCCAGGTGACTGGTCGGGTTCTTTTAAGTGGTCATTGACAATTTCTTTTCTTTCTTTCTTTTTTATTTTTTCTTTTGGCGACACTGGGGTTGGAACCCAGGACCTTGTGCATGCTAAGCAAGTGCTCTACCACTGAGCTACCTCCCCAGCCCAGCTCATGGTCATTATTATTTAAACCTTTGATTGCTTCCCATTAAGCTTATGGCTTAGACATCTTGTGGTGCAGTCGGAGTGATACTTGAAAACATGAATCAGAATGCGTCCTTTAAGAACCACTAGGAGTTTGAAACCTTTGAACTGCTTGCTGGACAGGCTTCAAAATGTGGGTCCCGGACACGCCTCTGACCTCCTTTCACATTCCTTCTTGTCACTTTGCTTCAGCCATATTTGACTTCCTTCTGAAGTGACCTTCATGGGTTAGGCTCTTTTCTACCTCAGGGCCTTTACACATCCTGTTCTCTCTGCCTGGGATGTCCTTTCCCAGCCCTTTGCTCATTTGCATTCCTGAGAAAAGGCTTCTTGAATCACTTTATCTAAATTTGCTCCTTGATGCTTCCAGAACTCAGTTCCTAGAACCTTGACAATCCATGTTATTATTGCAAAGCATTATTTTATATATATATATATATATATATTTTTTTTTTTTTTCTTTTGTCTTTCTTTTCACTAGAACATAAGGTCCATGCAGCCAGGACCCATGCATACATGCTGATACATGTTATCCCTAGTTTAATACCCTTTTAGGTATTCATTGATGAGTGAATGAAGATGTGCTCATTTGCAAGTGGTAGAACAGCCCTGGCCAAGGATATTCAAAATGTGCTTCAACCTACTCCCGTGTAGGTGGTTGCAGATCTAGAGAGCTGGGATATTCTAAATCTTGAGACATGAGAATTGGTCCTGTGTCTCCCTGTCTGGGCGTCCCACCCCCTCCCCACCAGCACTCCTGGGACCTCACCCTGAGAAATAGTCTGCAGAACTTTGAAAGGTCTTGCTTCTGGGGTGGAGGTCATTGAGTGGTCATACCTGATCTTTGCCCGCAGAGGGGTCCACGGTCAGTGGCTCCTGATCTTTGCCAACCTGATTCATTTCCTGCACGGTGTACTCAGGTCCTCTGGAAAGAGATCAAAATCCAGGTTTTATTTACTGTTGGTTCCATCCTCTCAGGAAGCTGCGTATTTTGTGACAAAAATGATTGGGGTCATTGGAAGGAAATTGAAAACACAGAGTGACTGTCGATGTGAATCAAAATGCTCAATCGGCCCTTCTTGAGCAGATAGAAAAACCATTGTGCAGATTTTATTTAAAAAAAAAAATGTTCCCATCCAATTCCGAAGACTCTTCTCGTATCTAGACCACTTGATTCTCGGGTAATTGGTTCTTAAACCGTGACCACGACGTTGCAGGAAATAACTAGAGCGTAAGGATGATTTGGGTAATGATGGTCTGGGATGATGCGTGGCTCTTGTGGACCAGTCAGTGATTGACAGAGGGCTTTCCCGCTTCCCTACGCCTCAGACCTGATCTTGGTCACTTCCCTGGGACTTGGGAAGGTGCGAGCCCACGGTGGGAGACGTAGTCCCCCCTCTTCCTGTGGGTTGCAGCCTCATGTTGTGCTTCCTTGGCTCTGAATAACACTGACTCTGCACACTTATCCCTTTCTGTGTCCAACAACCTGGAAACTCTTTTTTTAAATTTTTTTTCTGGTATCACAGATTGAACCCAGGGGTGCTTAACCACTGAGCCCCATCCCCAGCCCTTTCCATCTTTTATTTAGAGACAGGGTCTCACTGAGTTGCTTAGGGCTTTGCCAAGTTGCTGAGGCTGGCTTTGAACTCATGATCCTCCTGCCTCAGCCTCCTGAGCTGCTGGGATGACAGGCATGTGCCACCGAGCCTGGCTAAAAACTCTGAAATGGTTCTCAGCAGAGCCTGCACGTCTCTGATCCAGCTAGCACTGGACAGTGACGAACCACCCTCCTTTCCTATCTAACAGTTACTGGAACTTGACCGCAGTGAATTTGTCTAAAGCAGCAAACAACCCATAAAAGAAACAGGCTCCTTGATCACAAAGACTTCTGGGTTCTCTCTTCTTCATTCCTGGGTCCTTCTTTCTGTTGGTGCTGTTACGTCTTATAACCTTCATATGGAAAGGTCCAGAAGATATGGCCTCATTAGTCAACGGCTACATGGTTTGTTCCAGAACCCAAGCAATTGAAAATCACTGTAACATCAGCAGTCTTTAAAATATGCCATGTGCCTTCTGTTTGATTTATGGATGGGACAGAAAGTTTGCACATCTGCAGTTGGCAGGCTCCTGCTAGCTACTATTAATCTTTGCAGAAAGCATATAAATATGTTTGTTTCTGCCGCGCATTAGTTATTTGAATCAGGGCTGACGTTTAATCATCCCTCCTGTATGGTGTGTGGGGGGAGAGGGGTGTAATGAGAAGATTTGATGAAAGAACGAGACAGGGGCTTGGTTAAATGAGAAAGTGAGTGGCCATCGCACCGGAGCCTCTAATGAATCTCGTTCCTGTTGTAAGTGCTGGTGAGCAGATTGATATGCTCATTAAGTCCGCACCATTCATGAATCTCAGAGATTCGGATTGCAATTGCCAGTCTTCCGATGCTTTATAAAATGAATCTTTTCTACTCTGGGGCCGTGTTTGCAGCATCTATTTTAATTCTTAATCCTTGACCTCACTCTCGAGATTTCTTTGTTATCATTTGCCAGTTGAGATAGTGCACGCCTGTAATCCCAGTGACTCAGGAGGCTGAGGCAGGAGGATCGTGAGTTCAAAGCCAGCCTCAGCAATGGTGAGACCCTAAGCAACTCAGTGAGACCCTGTCTAAATAAAATACAAAAAAGGGCTGCGGATGTGGCTACCAAAAAAAAAAAAGATCTGGTATATTTCACTTTCTAGCGCTTTTAGTCTGCTTCCCTTAGTGTGGAAACCAGGCAGAGGCTGAAACATCTGTCCGGGGTCAGTTTCCTGGGCCATATCTGGGAGTGGGGGCTGGGGTTGTTCACCCACACGCCCAGGTAGCAGGGACCATCATGGGTGTGTTCACACGGCCGGCCTTCCATGAGCACCTCCCTGCCCTGGGCCAGCACAAAGGGCAGCCCTTCCCGCTGTGCCTGGCTTCTGGTTTCCCAGTGTCTTCTCCCTGTACCGAACAATCAGGAGACTTTCTTTTTCTTTCTTTCTTTCTTTATTTTTGAACCAGAGATTGAAGGGGTGCTTAAACACTGAGCCCCATCCCCAGCCCTTTTTTATATTTTATTCAGAGACAGGGTCTCACTGAGTTGCTTAGAGCCTCACTAAGTTGCTGAGGCTGGCTTTAAACTCGTGATCCTCCTGCCTCAGCCTCCCGAGCTGCTGGAATAACAAGCATTCACCCTTGTATCTGGCTTTTGTGTGTGTGTGTGTGTGTGTGTGTGTGTGTGTGTGTGCGCGCGTGCGCTGGGGATTGAACCCAGGGCCCTGTACACACAAGGCAAGCACTCCACCAACTGAGCTGTATCCTGAGCCCATATCTGGCTTATTTCTATTTTTTTAAACATATCATTTGTTTTCAGAAATCCTGTTCCCTGACACCAGGAGTCTAGAGGCTTCTTGGAGGTGTTTGGAAATCCTGTCTATGATCACTTAATAGTGCTTTTTAGTTAAACTTAATTTACAAAAGACATGAGACCTATCCCATAAATGCTCTTCTCTGTTTTCTAAGAGGTTCTATTCCAGGTAGTCAGCATAGGTACCTTTGCCCCTTGGTGTAAAACTCGGGGCAGATTCAGCTAGACCTGTTAGTAGCTGTGACTCTCCTTGAGGAGCAGTTTGGGGTTGAGTCAGAATACTTCTAGAGGATTTGGGGGGCTGTGGTTGGAGCTCAGTGGTAGGGCGCCTGCCTAGCACACGTGAGGCACTGGGTTCGATCCTCGGCACCACATAAAAGTGAATAAAATGAAGGTATTGTGCCCAACTACAACTAAAAACAGTATATTTTTAATAAAGAGAAGATTTGGGGGATACTTTGTGAAAGTGGAGAAAATATGCTTTGCTTTTTGGAGAAAGTTTATCTCAAAAACATATCTAAACTGGTGTGTCGGGAACCCCCCATAAGTCGCACTCTGCCTTAATCTGCTCAAGGAATTTGGCAGGTTACTTAAGCAGGTTACTCTTCACCCCCTGACATTCCTTTCTTTATTCAAAAAATGGATCTTTTATCCTAGAGAAACTCTCGGGATGCCCCTGTTGGCTCTTATGTTATGCCAATTATGATTTTATTGTTGTCTAGAGGAAAGACCACAAGATTCTGGTGCCAAAGAATGTAAGTTTGAATCATAATCCCTTCCTTTTCTTGCAGTGTGATTTTAGGCAAGTCACTTAACTTCTCTGAGCTCAGTTCACCATCAGGAAGAACATGAATGATAATGCATGCCTTGCCTGTGTGTGATGTAGATTAAAAGAGGTAGCACGTGTGCCAGTTCCTGACATAGAGGTGTTGGTATCGCATGGTCAGTCGATGGTGTATTGTGAATATTGCCTAATAGCAGAAGCAGTTGGGAACTAGTAACTTGCTATTTTAGAAAGACAAGCATAGTCCTGAACTATAGAATGACAATGTACGGTGTTGTGGCGTCCATATTTTGTTTTAGAATCTCCTCTGTTCATTCTGATGTACATCCAGGGCTGCAAATCATGCTAGGGTCCTGCCCTCATGGTTCTGTCTAGTTTGGATCTATTACCTGTACCTTGAGGGAAAGCTGGAAAAGTCAGGAGGCTGAGGCAGGAGGATCGCGAGTTCAAAGCCAGCCTCAGCAACTTAGTGAGGCCCTAAGCAACTCAGGGAGACCCTGTCTCTAAATAAAATACAAAATAGGGCTAGGGATGGGGCTCAGAGGGCGAGTGCCCCTGCGCTCAGTCCCTAGTACTAAAGAGAAA